TGAATGTACCCTATAAACCTTATATTCATATAATTCATACTATTGTTTGGCTTTGCAGATCAATATAGAGAATATTAACCATTGAATAGACTTTAACATGTTGTCTCAGAAAATTAATTATTTGCGACTTAGAAAAACATATTTATCTGCTTACAAAACATGTTGTTTACAAATAGTATAGACAGTATTTTAATTTGATAAGAATATTGATAACAATTTCATAAAATCATAAATCAACCAATGTATTTTCTTTGCTTGTTAATTGTATTTTATTTTTAGGTACAACAGTCCTTGTCTAATGTTACAGGAGTGTCTGAAAATGGAGGAGGTGCTACCAGTAGACAGTCAGTCAAAGGTTAATTTATATAAACGTCAATTAGTTTTAATTTCTATTCCACACATTATGTGGGTGGGAGCAGTCTTGAAGTGTTTATTTACTTCTGTATAACTCTGTCATATTCTTTATTCTGTGCACTTAACAATTACTGCAGTTTTTAATACAAATGTTTACATGGTTATATTTACATACATTTAAAGCAACATCTTCAATTATAAGGCAAAAATTCTTCTCTGTTCTATAAAACATTGTGTGTCTTGCTATTTGTGTCTTGGTGATTTTTGATGAATTTGCTAAATTACATTTCTTTCCATGAAGTCAAGAAAATTCATGAAATTAGGAAAGTATATAGACCAGTTAGTCTCCAAGCAAAAAATTGGACGAGATAGTCTGCAAGCATAAAAATAAACCTGAGTAAGTCTGCAAGCATAGACATAATGTTAATCTCCAAGAAAATTAAAAGACCAGATAGTCTGTATGCAAATAAATAGACCAGTTAGTGTGCAAGCAAACAAATAAACTAGTAAGTCTGCAAGCAAACAAAAATAAATTGGTTAGACTGCAAGCAAACAAATGAACTAGTTAGTTTGCATGCAAATAAATATACATTTGTTTGAAGTTGAGGTGAGTGATCTCAAATGTCCTTATTTTCATACAGGTGAACCTTCAATGGACCCACAGAAGAATGGTTCATTTATGAGTACCAACAACACAGAGGATGGATTAGTTCTGATGCAGAGCAGTGTCTCTATGGGTGCTCATACTATTGGAGGTCAGACTGAGGTTGATGAAGAAGGCGATTTAAAAACAGGTATTATATAAATCCCTAATATTGACTTTTTTCAAGAAGTATGTCTGCTATACAGTATATACAATTAATGTTGACAGTTTCTTGAATAAATAAAAAATTAGTAGGTTATTAAGTAGTCTTCAATTTTATAATGATTTTTATATGGCCGCAAAAAAAATTTTGTGGTCGTATATTGGTATGACGTTGGCGTAGTCGTCGTCGTTGTTGTCCAAAGACACATTAGTTTTCGCACTCTAACTTTAGTTTAAGTGAATGGATCTCTATGAAATTTTACCATAAGGTTGAATACCACAAAAGGAAGGTGGTGATTGATTTTGGGGGTTATGGTACCAACAGTTAAGGAATTAGGGGCCAAAAAGGGGCCAAAAATAAGCATTTTTGTAACTTCCAGACATAACTTGTGTGTAAGTGTATGGATCTCTCTGACATTGTACCACAAGGTTCCATATCACAAAGGGAATGCTGGGATTGATTTTGGGGGTAATTGCCTCCAAATTTTAGGAATTAGGGGTCAAAAAGGGGCAAAAAACAAGCATTTTTCTAGTTTCATGACAATAACTTGTGTGTAAGTGTATGGATCTTTATGAAATTGTACTACAAGATTCCATATCACAAAGGGAAAGCTGGAATTGAGTTTTGGGGTAATTGCCCTAAAAGTTGAGAAAAAAGGGGCCAAAAATAAGCATTTTTCTAGTTTCCAGACAATAACTTGTGTTCAGGTGTATGGATCTCTCTGAAATTGTACTGCAAGGTACCATACCACAAAGGGAAGGCTGGGATTGATTTTGGGGGTAATTCCCTCAAAATTTTAGGAATTAGGGGCCATAAAAGGGCCAAAAAACAAGCATTTTTCTAGTTTCAGGACAATAACTTGTGTGTAAGTGTATGGATCTTTATGAAATTGTACTACAAGATTCCATATCACAAAGGGAAAGCTGGAATTGAGTTTTGGGGTAATTGCCCTAAAAGTTGAGGAAAAAGGGGCCAAAAATAAGCATTTTTCTAGTTTCCAGACAATAACTTGTGTTCAGGTGTATGGATCTCTCTGAAATTGTACTGCAAGGTACCATACCACAAAGGGAAGGCTGGGATTGATTTTGGGGGTAATTCCCTCAAAATTTTAGGAATTAGGGGCCATAAAAGGGCCAAAAAACAAGCATTTTTCTAGTTTCAGGACAATAACTTGTGTGTAAGTGTATGGATCTTTATGAAATTGTACTGCAAGGTTCCATATCACAAAGGGGAAGCTGGGTTTGAGTTTGGGGGTGATTGCCCTAAATGTTTAGGAATTTGGGGCCAAAAAACAAGCCATACCACAAAGGGAAGGCTGGGATTGAGTTTGGGGGTGATGAATCATAAGGGGGTTCAAAAAATTTGGGGGGGATTTTTTTTTCCTTTTTTTTCTTTAGAATTTTCCATTTTAAATTGGTTATATCTGATTTATATATAAAAGCAAATAATAATGATATGGTTTGAATGGTAAATTAAAATTTTTTAAGTTCTTAGACCACTTTCATTCTGTGTCAGAAACCTATGCTGTGTCAAATATTTAATTACAATCCAAATTCAGTGCTGTATCAAGCTTGAATGTTGTGTCCATACTTGCCCCAACTGTTCAGGGCCCCAGTGGAGCATTTTATTTTACATATGATATATTTTACTTATATTTTGCTTAAATAGGGTTAACAGTATATACGTCAAAAATTGATTTCAAGAATTTAGTTTCCTGAACTTATTTTCAAGAAAAATACATTTCTAAATTCTTTATCAGTGATTTTTTTCTCCACAGGAATAGTTGACATAATAGAACCACCAGAAGAAGAAGAGGATGAATTAGATGAGGCTACAAGACAATTTAATTTTTGGACCCATCAGATACACATCTTCTTTGTCAGAAAATTCTTCCCTGCTGCTGAGAAGTTTAACCTTTTGAAACAGATGTCAGAAACTAGGAGAATAAATGAAGCAAGGGAAAGGATTAAAGCTGAACAGTTAGAAGCTGAAGCTTAACTTCTCGTCAAATCTCTGCTTGTCTGTGATATTTGTTTTTTTAAGTTTGAAAATTAAATTTATATGAGAGTGAAATCACAACAATTGTCTAAGAAAGGTCATTAATTGACAAATATGATATAAAACAAATAGAATAAGATTATTTGTCATTTTAATTTCCTACTCCAGCCAAAATGTTTAACTCAAGATCAGTGGACGTTCTGAAAAGCTTTACAACTGACTGTAACTTACTATTCTAAGGAGAACCATAAGTGCCCCTCAGACTACTTGTAATTCTGATACACTGCATAGGCATTGAATAGAATAAGATTACTTACATTATATATGATAGTAAAATGTTGTCTAATGGAGGTGATACTTGTATTTATGTACAGCCAGGAAGGATATCTGTAGGTCCATAGGGTCAATGTAAGTTTTTTTTCATCCCCCCCCCCCCCCCCCCCCCCCCCCCCCCCCATGTTTCAAGTTATTTGATTTTGAAAATAACACACATTTTTATCACATTTATTTCTAGGCAGTTTTTTTTAGTGTAAAGCATAGTAAACATGAGATGTGATTGTAAAAAAACTTCTCCGTAGAAAATAGGTAGGGTTGAGTTACTGGGGTTCTCAAAAAGTAGTTTAATCTTGCCTCATGTTCATGTACCTACCAAGTCTGGAACCTTGTCAATGTAATTTTTTTATGCATTTTTATTTTTTAGTTGACGCATCTAGCAATCATTTAATGCAAGGAATAAATGACATAAGCACAATTCTAGCCAAGTTTGATGTAACTTAACAAAAATGAATAACAACAGACGTATAGTGTGTGCCAATGTGATGGCAACACAAAGACACAAATAACCAAAACACATATAAATGGCAACACATAGTCTTCAACAATATAATGGTATTACCCAATATGTCAAGCTCTTAATCATCCTGAGTATACAAAATTGTAAATACATTAAACAGAAACAAAGGTCAGCCATCAACACCAAATCCTCTGACATAAGATAACCACTGATGAGGTCCCCCAACCATATACATCCTGCCAGATGAACAACCTTGACATCTTACTCAGCATGTTGCTCTAACACAAATCCAAACAGATCCTGTGCCCATGCTTTGCTTACAAGGATCTGACAACACTCCTATCTATTTCTGTTCTGTACTTATCAGCCAATGAAATTCCTACCCACACAGAAAGTTGAGAGGAGCTTTGTCAGATCCTTGTAAGGAAAGCATGGTCACATGTTATGTATTTTACTCAGATTGGCACAAATCTACATCCAAATGACATTAAGGTGTAATACCACCAAATCATAGTACGTCACATCAGGTTGCATACGAAAATAGGTCGAAAAAAAATATTCCCTTGAATTTGACAGTTGTAGGTAATTGATCCTACATTTCATTGCAGTAAAACATTTCTGGGTCATAAACATATATCTTGGGTATATCAAAGCACCATTATTTTTTTATTTGGGGTTTCTATAGAATATTTTGGAAACTTGAGGTTACATGGTTACTAAAGCTTGTACAGGGGTTAAAAAAGGGGGAAAATTTGATTGGTTAACTTCCAGTGATGGTTATTTTCTTATATGCAATGAAATGTTATGCGAAATTTTTTCTATAGTACTGGACAGGATAAAACTTTACTCATGCCAAGTATTTCTTTATTTGAAACAAAGATAAATTCTGCACAATTTTTTAAAAAGTGCAAATTTAACAAAGACTAATAGGGGAAAATCAATGGTGGTATTACACCTTAACAAGGTTTTCTCCATGATATCCATGTAATATTTGCAGATGGTCATCCATTTATTAACAAATCATAATTTCAGTTGATAAAAACACAAACTCTATCTTGTTTATTTTATTCAACATCTAATAAGTGACCAGCACTTTATTTATATTTACAAATATTTTACATAAAGTAACGAAACAAGATATGGCAAGAGTAAAACTAGAATGTGTAAAATATACAGAAACATATTCCAACAATAATAAAATACTAAATACACAATAAATATGATTATTAAACATGATAAATACTAAGCAATTAATATTTGTTGATGATGAAATTATTTCACAAGGCAAACATGATCTAAAGCTTGACATCGGGCTATGTCTACATATTTTGTATCGCATATAATCTACTACATGTACTGTATTTCTAAATGTTCTGAGGTATTTTCTGTTATAGAACACATAGATATATGGCCTAGACTTACACTTTTGATTCAAACTTACATATAATCTAGAATAAACACAGATTCATGAACCTAAAAATGATCAAATCAGATTCCCTAATAAGAATATATCATTGTATGTTTAACCAATGAATTCTAAAAGGTATTTAATAACACCTTGAACTCCCTCTGAAAACAGAAAAGACAAAGTCGAGATTCCGATTAGTGTTTGAATATCAAAGTCAGTTTTTCATGATTCATGACCACAAATAACACTCTCAGTGACCTCTTGGCTATGGGCCTGAAAGCAATATTTTAAAATAAAAAGAAATAGCAAGAAACCAAAGTAAGTTGAATACAATTAGAATATTCTTAGATGTCTAGAAAGGATATCGATGCAGCTGTTACTCAATGAGATGAAGCAATTCTTTTTGTGATGACAGATGATTAACAATGAATACAGAATGCAAATGATTGCAAAGCTCATAAATGTTCTAAATAAGATTTTCTATGCAAGCAGTAAATAAATGAATGTCAATGATTTCAACCATATATTACTGTATAGTAATATAAAATATTAAGTCCATTTTGATAATCGTCTTGAAATACTTGATTCCTTACAGGCAATACTTGAACAGTCTGAAGTTCATAAAAGTGGACTACTTCGATGCATTCTCTGAACTGTTTATGTGTCTGGTAATTAACATAGCTTTTTTGCATGTTGCTACAGTATGTACTTTGCTATATGTCTTTGTACAGTATGGATGGTTTTGTAACATTGTAATTGGTCCATCATCGATGATGATCGATTTGATAAGCTAATTTGCTGGACTGTGTTATTTTATTTCAGCATAATGATTTCCTTCATTTATTTCAATGTTCATGTAAACCTACACAACAACAAAAAAGAAACAATTAGTGATATTACATAAAACAAAACATACCAAAGTTTATTCTAGGCAATCTTAAAAATAAGGTAGCTATCTATATAATCATATTTTGTTTTAATAATTGCATTTTCACTCTACAGTGAAATGAAGATAATTTTAGATATTCATAAAAACAATTTCAAAGTGCTTTCCTAGCTGCCACATATTTTTCTGAATGGAATAGCACTGTACACTCACTCAAGTAACTCTGTGTGTCTCCTATCAAAATGAGGTGCTTGAATTGACGACAAAAAAAAACTTTATTTTCACTGGTAAGCAATCAGTAAGCTAAGTTTTCACCGGATTATTATCAACAGATTACAATCAAGGTCATTCAATGAAACAGAAACAACAAATTATCGTATAGTAAATGTTTCCTCATTATTTTGCCTTATAATTATTTATAAAATATATATATACAAAACTAAAAGACATCAAACTCACTTGACTGTCATCTAACATTCTTTGTAGTCTCATCATTAACTCAGAAAAGCATGGCCGACATTCTGGTTTCTCATTCCAACACTGAAGCATCATGGCATACCTGTTCAAATATATTAAGTTTTTTTATAATATGAACTGTATCTCCATGAATTATTGTCTGCAAAACTATTACAAAATGTAAATGAATATAAAGTAAAATAATGTACATGATGTTTGCTTTATGTGATGTCAATTCCACATTTTTAAATTTCTGCCAGTTGCCAGTTCAAACCTTTTGTACTTATTATACATGTAGTTGGACTTTTGTTCTAATTCATAAACTCAACTGAACATTTACATTTATCAATACAACTCTCACATGGTAGTAGCCACTTGCAAAGTCAAATGCAGTGTTGTAGTGTAACGAATTTTAAGGGCATATATTGGACCAAAAAAATTAAAAGATGAACATGATTTAAAGTAAAGGTATTGTTAATACTGAAGTTTGCGTGAGGATTTCAATGAAATTATTCCACAAACCTTATAAAAAGATCATGGCAGTACAAGCATCTTATTAGACAATACAAATTAAACCAGTTCAAACCAGGAGAAGTTCAATTTGGTTGAAATTCATGGTAAGCTTTTGTTAATATAAAGCAGTAATCGATAACTTACAATGAAGGATCACAATTCTCTGGTCGTCTCATTCTAAATCCTTGCTTTAACAAGTTGCACATTTGTTGTGTATCAAGTCCATGGTATGGTGTTCCACCCAAAGTAGCTATTTCCCATAATAAAATACCGAAGGACCAACTGAAAGATAACATAATAATATGAGACAGGTGTTGCTGTGAAACAGGACAAAGTCGTATTTTTTTCTTGATACTTTTTGGTAATCAGATATATACAAATTATTTTGGAAATTGAACGCTTTACAACATGACAGCCGCCGTCTGCATGCACACTGTCGCAAACAAAAGTTAACGATTTTGGATTCACCAGTTTATTGATTTTTTTATTTATTGTTCGTCTTACTGTTATGAGGACTTTGTCCTCTATTAAGAATATAATAATATAAATGTATATATCAACAGCACATATATTTTAGAGCCTCCTCATGGGGTTTTTGATTATGTGATTACTTGGCCGTTTTTATAGAGATTATTTGATTACCAGACCAAATATTTCATGATATTTGATTATTTGATAATCTAGGACTGTATTTGTGATTATTTGATTATCTTGTTTAAAAAAATAGTTAATGATTATGTGATGATATTGGCAAAAAAATTGTGATTATGTGATTACTTGGACACCCCCATGAGGGGCCTCATTTAAAATACAAATCATATATACTTACACATCGCTCTGTGTTGTATACAACGCATTGAATAAAGATTCGGGTGCCATCCATCTTACTGGAACTCGCGTCTGAAATATTTAAATATATTAAATTAAACAAATGCTTTTATCCAGTTTATTGATTATGTTTAATAGCAAATTATATCAAACGAATCTTTGTAGATCTCATTTGATTCGAAAGCTCATATGGTTTGTCTTTTTTTGTTTATTATTAGACCTTCTCTATGCAATTGTATGCGATATCAGATATTGTTATGACATTTCAAGTCAGACAGCTCATGGTCTCGTAAGAAGCACATACAAATTTTGAAATGCTAAAAAGATATGTTTTTAAAGAACTTTGTTTTATTTTCCACAAACATTTTTAACTACAGTAATAATACAATTTGTTAATAATTTTGCACCCTATCCAATTGTGAGTGATTATATTACAGACACTAAAATGGATAAAGTAAGAAAATCGAAAGGTTACATTTCATCTTTTGGCAAATCTCTCTTCGATTTAACCAAATTCAATATGAATTAAACAAGATGTGAGGTATACATACATTTGAAGTCTTTACATATGTGTCTTCGTGTTTGGACAAACCAAAGTCAGCTACCTTTGCTGTCAAGTTTTCATCTAGTAAAACATTTCGAGCTGCTAGATCCCTATGAATAATCTGCAACAATATCGAGGCTCATAAATATGTGTTTGAACTTTTAGAAGATTATACCGATAAGAATTTAAAAAATTGATATAGCATGCAAGTAAAATTAAAAATAAGATTTTAAATCATTATAACGTATATGATAGCATGGTGTTGAAGAACAGCGATTTTACTGCAATGGTATTTGAAAATAAAAGAACAGTGACTTGTTCATTTAAAAATATACTTTTTATATTCCAAATGAAAAGACAGAGAGCTTATATTTCGTTTGATTGTGTATAGTTAACTACTTATCAAAAAGTTCAAATATATTTATAATTTATAAGTAAATATACCTGCTTGTCAGCCAAATGATTTAGACCTGACGATACATCTAAGACGAATTTAAGTAAATATACCTGTTTATCGGCCAAATGATTGAGACCTGACGATACATCTAAGGCGAATTTAAGTAAATATACCTACTTGTCAGCCAAATGATTAAGACCTGACATACAGCTAAGGCGAATTTAATTAAATATACCTGTTTATCGGCCAAATGATTGAAACCTGACGATAGATCTAAGGCGAATTTAATTAAATATACCTGTTTGTCAGCCAAATGATTGAGACCTGACGATACATCTAAGGCGAATTTTAGTAAATATACCTGTTTGTCAGCCAAATGATTGAGACCTGACGATACATCTTAGGCGAATTTAAGTAAATATACCTGTTTATCGGCCAAATGATTAAGACCTGACGATACATCTAAGGCGAATTTAAGAAGCATGGTCTGTTGTACTGGCGAAATGATCTTAGTATTAGCATACAGGTTATGTTTAGCTTTCCTTTGTTTCCTCAGGTATGATCGTAGGTCTCCATTCTTAACGAATTCCATGGCTAAATACATCGTACCTGACAAAGTAAAACACTTAAATCAGTACAAAGACGACATTTGGTGCACCCCCAAATCTAAAGGCATGAATATCAATAACTGTCAACAAATCTAACTCTTTTTCAAATAAAAGTATGAAGATTTTTTTTTTTTTTTTAGTGTGTGTGTGTTTTTTGTTGTTGTGTTTTTAATATTGCATCCGTGCAAAGACCAGAAATGTAATTAATGACCGTATATATATGAAATGAAATGACCCTTATTTTGGTTTATTCTCTTATAACTCCTGTTTTAATTATGGCCGTTGTCTTATCAACAGGAAAACTATTATTCAGTTGCATGTTTTTTTGGTTTTCATGTTCATATTTCTACAAGCAGCTTTAAACAGTTGATGAAATGATATTTCGTCACAATGAAAATGCCAAAAATGTACTTTAATAACTCCAATGTTTACCGTATTGAATTTCATTTATTGAAATCCTAAATTTAATTGAAAAGATATTAGTAATAAAATAATGTGAATTTCTTAACTGATAAACTAATCTAAAAGATGAGTAATATGTGAAATCGGGTTAAAAACAAAACAGACAACATAAGAGCAACATATACACACGCACTTCTTCACGTGTCTTCGAAAAAAGAACCAATAAAGGGACATCCTTCACCCACATGTTAGCGAGAATGTTTGACAGGTCAGAGTTTAGTAGAAATGCGGACATAAAGAATTATAAAACCCCAGGAGAGAGTTTTGTTATCGCATGTATATTTGATACATGTGGTAAGTTTTAAAGTATAAGATAAATTCGGGTCACTTGAACATCTGATGTGTATGAATAACTCTTCTGGGTTTATTTATTGGAAAAAAAAATATGCGGTAACATGTAGAGATGTATATTTTCCTATCCATCTGCGACAGTAATATTCACCCCCAGTTTTACACAAGAAGCGAACGTCTTTAAATATTAATTGAAGTTTACAATTCAGCAAAAATTATTAAAGTATATGAAAGACATATATAGTCAAAGCATTTTAAAACTTTCTTTCGTATAAAACAAACTTCAAGTTTAATATAAATACCTTGTATATGACAAGCGCCAACTAAACAAACGACATTCGGATGTTGTCCAACTTTCTTTAGGATGTTCAATTCATTCATAAAATCGTTTTTGTCCTTTTCTGAAGCATTATCTATAAAATACACAAAAATATTAATTTACATGTGAGAACTATTTATTACGGTTTATTTGTTTCATTTGAAAAAAAAGGAGATCTGCTTAACGTCCTGACTTGCAAAAATAATATTGAAACAAATCGATTAATAAATAACCGATCATGGATAAAATAGCAAAATTGAATTAATATAGAAAATGATACGGCATGTTGTTCAAAACCCACTGACCTCTCAAAGATTTAACAGCTACTGGAAGCCTATGATCTCGATCTTTCTTGAAATATCCTTTCTTTACCATTCCAAACTGTCCAGTTCCGAGTTTTTCATTGGTCAATACAAGATTATACTTATTAAGTTCCCATGGCCCACAAACAACTTGTTCATAAATGTGGCTTTCTGGATCCTGATAGCTTCTCTGTAAAAAAATGTAGAAATATAAGGTTATTCAAATATGAAGGGAAATCTATTTTTTACGTCAGTTTGACTCTTAATAAACATTTTAGTCTGGGAAACATGATATATTTGTGCTTTGAACTCGTTTTCTGTAAACGCAAGTACTCTTAATGTTTTACTCGATCTCTGTCTTTTGTCTTTATTGTTACTTGTATTTGTGCTTAATACCGATCTGATGTGTAAGCCTCTCTTGAACTGTGCTATTTAAAGATTGTCCTAATGTTGTGCTGTTACATCTTTGATCCAGGTAAAAAAAAGAGGAGATACAGCGTTCACATACAAATGTTAATGACACAATTTCAAAAATATCCGATCGTTAAAAGAAGAAAACTTATTTTTAAGTACGATATAAATTCAATAGAAATTATTGATGGTAATAATCTGGACTAAAATCAAGGATTTTCGAAATATTACAATTTGTGGATCCAAAATTTGAAAAAGGGGGCACTAAGACAACGTTAGGAGTGGGACTTTAAAAAGTCTGTGCATTAACCACATATAGAGCTTCATATATGGGTGCCCCTAAATTCGTCTCTGATTACTGAAACATATTCGGTTTACCACTTTTCTGGTTACTTGTATCAAGTCATTTGCATTTATCAATGAAGAATTGTGACGGCTATCGATACTGCAACCAATTATGATAAGTAATGTGGGGAAACGCATAATTTTAATGCTTCAATAACAGCCCAACTTCTCAAAACTTCAAAGACTTTTTAACACTCTTGAAATAATAACTGCCGTTTTCATAAATGTTATCACAAAAATTAATTACACAAACACTTTAACACTTGTAAATGCACAATAAAGATTATAAGTGGAATTTATTAATATATTATCTCCCCTTTTCGCACATCTATATAATAATATGGTATTTTTCAATGATTAAAACCTCAAGAACAAAGACACATTTAAAGTATATATATCAAGTAAATGAAAGTTTAATTAATTTATGTTTTTGATATTTTTGACAAAGAATTACAGTAATCACGAAATAATAACAATAAAATCATGTCTAACCATACTTAATAATATACATGACGTTTGGTAGTAGATTTTAATTTATTTATTACTTAATAGAATATTATATGTAAGAAGTAAATATATAGAACACTTATAAATTGATAACCTTACACTAGCACCAGCATAATACATGTTGATAAAACACAATATAGTCTTACTTAAACTACTACAGATCTGGAAGATACTGACAATCTATTGTAAGAACATGGAAAATACAGTTCAGAAACTACCATTCCAGATTGCAAGCTTTAGGGGATAATTTTTTCTGTCAAATATGATATTTTTCAATCTTGATTTTAATACATTGTATGAGATGTTTGGTATATGCGAAATGAGAAAGCAAACAATGAAATACACAAAACATCTAAAGATCAACATTGGTCTCCAACAATGTTTCCGGTTAGTTTTCACACAGTATGCCAAATTCTACGCCACATTGAGTCTATAGAAAAAAATCTGTGGTTAAATTAAACAGAAACTATGATCAAAGATCTGTGGTCAACACCAATTTCTCCAAACAACAAAAGCATTAAAATATGACATGAGGCAACTATCGGCGAGGTTCCTGGCTTGGAATAGGCACATAAATGTATTTTTTTTTATCTCAGCCCTCACCTTATTAATCTTATCAATGGAATTACAGAGAGTGCATTGAAACGTACAACTCTTGGTCCTGCACACTGTCCGTTCAAGTTAATAAAGTTTAACATTAATACAAACAACAAAAGACATGTACACAAACCACACTTGACAATACACAACACTTACTGTAGTTAACCTGTAAAATCTACTGAACAGTCTTCCATGGCGTGGACGTATGAATATGAAATACACCAATGTTACTGTGAACAAAACTACAAGGACACCAATACAGGAAACTAAAACTGGTATTATCAAGTTCTTCATGTCTAGTTTGGCTTTCTCTCCAGTTTCTGAAAATAAAAATCAGTGTAATATAGACTATTAAATGTTAGAAGAAAACGAATACATGATAAAAATATTTTAAATCACTTATAAATATTATATTTTATAATTTTGGATCAAGTGCACATGAAATTACTTTTACAAACTCAGATATTTTGAAATGATGCAAAATAAGACATTACAATATAATCAATTGTTCTAAAGACTCACCATCAAGACAACGTAAACCAGTGTAGCCGACCTCACATCCCTGGTCACATGAGCCGTCGGAGATGTTACATGTTGTACCTGGAGCACAGAATCCACATCTATATATGCAAGCATTCCCATAGTACCCAGCAGGACAACCTGTCAAATGAAAAAAAATATTATTGTACTCTACTTATAGTAACACTTCATTGGATACTTATGATGTCTTCCAACAGTAAACAAAGACACACTTGCGGATTTGGCTTTATTTTTGGTACCTTTTTGTTCTATCTGCTCTTCAAAGTTTGTATTTGGTTTTGGTATTTTGGCCTCGAACATCACTGAAGCGACATTAATTGTCGAATTGCGCATCTAGCGCAATAACAGTGGTACCGTTAATGTTATTCAAAAGTGGAACATGCGTAAAAATGCTGCTCACTTAATTATTTCTTAACTTATTCAAATTACAAGATATTCTATTGTGTGCAATAGCTACTACAGTACGTTAACGTTAAGATTAACTTACTTTGTTGACATCTAAGTCCCTGCCACCCTGGATCGCACCCAAACGTACACATGCCACTGATCGGGTCACAGTCTGCATCATCACGACATTGTCCACATTTACTGCCACAGTTTGCACCGTATGTTGCATTAGTACACTCTGAATATTTGTAAGTAGAAGAATATGACAAATTTAATATGTTTGGAAGTCATTTTAATTGAAGTGTTTCTCTTTTATGATCTTTTAGGTGATGTCAAATATTAACTTTTCTAATTCGATTTGATAGATTGCAGTCTTGAAGTTAACAGTAGTTCCACAATGGTAAGAGATAAACCATTATAGTTTACAACGTTTAGTATCTACTAAAAAAGTGTTATTGCAAATCGATAATTATTGATTTGTAAGTAACGATATAAAAAGTGAAATATATCAGTAGGAAATATGCACAAAAAGTGTTCCATCTACTTCAAACCAAGTTTCCTACATTGCAAAAACTAAGAAACAATCTGCTAACAATGATAATACAAGTAAAATTACAGAAATCCTAAAATCTACATATATATTATCATTTATAAGATTTTGTGTAAATTAAAACATGGACTTACTATTGTTGCACATTTGTCCATTATAGCCTGCAGAACACACAGAACCACATTTACCATTCACGTGATTACAAGTTCCATTTGCACACTTTCCACAATGCAACTGACAACCGGTTCCAAAATAACCAGGAGAGCACTCTGTTAAAAAGATCACATTCTTACTATGATTTATTGTTAGTTTCATTAATATTACTTAGATATGAATGTATTTTAATAGTATTTCTATACATATTGTCATGTTAAAAGTATTTTTCTTATTCAATCTTTATTTATTGTATTGTAATGTAATTTTGATGCAATGCGCAGTTTTTCTTTTTGCAACGCGCAGCTTTTTTTTCAAACATATTCGGTTGTTATTTGTCCATATTTCATTGTGCAAGTTTTCTTAAGTTTGTGAGTAGTTATTTTACTTATTTCAATTAAAGTTTTCTTTTCATCTTACATTTTTAGGTCCTTTTTTGGTCATTTAGCTCTTCAACTGTTTCGGTTCTTGTGCATCCTTGGCTTTCAAATATTTTTGCGACATCGAGCGTTCCTGATGAAAGTAAATCCAGACAAGTTTGAGCTTTCTAAAAAGCTGTGGACTGCTTCGCTCTATTCTAATTTATGGTAATATGTGTGCATGTGGTTGTTGATTTAGTATTGGAAATGTGGTATTTTTAGATATTGATTGATATAAAATGGATGTCTTAGACTTGGAATATAAATTTTTGTATATATATTAAGATGAACTTTTCTGAAATTTTAAACTGGCTGTTCAGTGTTTAGTTGTCAATGTGTTTTTGTGGAGTGTGGTTTTCTAGTTTTTTTTAGCTGGTTATTGACTTGCGATTTTGATTGCTAGTTCTGTATATACTGGAGGTGTGCCTCTCTGGAGGTGTGCCTAGATTGACAGAAGTTATAAAATACAGATAATGCATGTTTGTAAACATTGTATAGGAACATTGTTTAGCAAATCGTGCATATTGCAGATTAACAAAGCAAATAGACACGTATTAATAATTGATATTTCAATATTGAATTTCAGTGTGCAATATATGCATAATAAAACGAACATGAATTAATGACAGTTGATCGGAACTGAAATACACATAGTTAATTTTCCGGCATTTGATGTCTTATCCTGAGACGATAAAGTCTGTAATTCTTCATCTCATTTAAACCAATAGCTGTTGCTGTATCTCAGCCGCATCATAAAGTAACCAATTAGAATCTATATGTGATAAGTAATTATTTCAAGATGGCGTGAATATCGACTGAAACTAATAGCTCCGCACCGTGGTGCGAAGCAAAAAGCGCTTCAGACGAATGGAATTTATAAAGAGTTGTTTTTATTTTTTACCACTTTGACTGCGTTGGTTAAAACACTCTTCAGCTAGGAGCCCCACTATCAACTGAGACATAAAGTGTACGTTGAATCAAAATACTTACTTCTGTTACATTTACTTCCCAACCAACCATCTCTACAACCATTGGTACAGTATCCTGTTTCGTGGTCACATGATCCGTTACCTGAACAACGCCCACATGTCAAAGCACAATCTATACCGAAAGTACCAGGCTCACATTCTGGAAAAAAAGTTAAAAGGCCAATAGTTTTTGATCCTTTAACTTATGTGCTAGATAAATCTTTCCTAATAATTCACCAACTCTCATTCGTAAAACATAAAAGGCATATACCGAACAACCAAAACTGTCAAAAAATCAACTTGGATGATGCAAGCTTTTTTTAAGAACAATAAAATAATTTATGGAAATTAACGGATAAAATGTATCATTTAAATAATGGCAACCACGCGGATTTTTCCATTCGAAACTGATAGCTCACAGGCAGGGTGCTTATTCACAAAATATCCGTTAGTTAATAAGCTCCAAAATGTACCAATCCAGTTGCAGAAATAACTTAGGCACCAATGTCCGTGGCCAGAGCGCATTGCATTCATCAATACATTTTGTTATTTATATGTTTGTTTCCTAAAAAGATGGTTCAAACCCGTCAAGCTAGAAAGACTTTAACGAGTTTGGCTAATTTCTTTAATTATTTTTCTGTGTCTTATACTTATGCTGTACAGCTTTGAACGTTCTTCGTGAAGCTGAATCCCGAGAAGATATTTGATTTGTAATTACAGCTTTCTACTCAGACAAAAATGTTTTCCTCTTTCGTGCGTATAGTTTAACTAAATAGCCTCTTGTATTTGAGTAAGATAAGATTTGGGTTTACACCAATGACACATCAACCTATAACATATTGTATGCGTGAAGTAGTGTGCATGCCATGTTCTGATTTGTTCTTTTTTACAAATACTATTTAATATAGAAATGTCTAATCTCATAATATCTTGTTCTGAAATTGTCAGAAATTATTGCTTACATCGATGAAACAGATTTAAACAATAAACTCATCATAGATAACAGGCTTAACATTTTGTACGCAATACGCGCGTTTCGTCTACAAAAGACTCATCAGTGAGCTAGAATCAAAAATATTTAAAAGGCTAAAGTTGAAGAGCGTTGAAGACCTAAAATTCCGAAAGAATTACCAAGACTTACCACGGTCACACCCTTCTCCTGTCCACCCAGGTTTACACCCTGAGCTACAATGGCCTGTCATCAGATTACACTTCTTGTCCTGTCTACAGTGACCACACCGTCCCATACAATCAAAACCAAACGTGAACGCTGCACATGCTAATTAAAAACATAAATGGCAAATGTAGAGACTCAACCGTATTGAGTAATTGTAGAAAAAAAATCAACCCTCCTCGTCTTTATTCTGGAGAAATTGAGTAATTGTAGATTTAAAAAATCCAAGATACTACTACAGTTATATATGTATAGTTCAAAAGACCAAATGTGTAGTTAGTGCATATCCTCCAAATATACCCGAATGACAGTTAGTTGATCAAATTTATTGAAAAAATGTTTTATACAAATAATGTTATTTAAAATTCAGGTTGTTAGCATTGCTTGTTTTACATTTAAAAATGCGCAATCAAGTAGGTGTTCTATTACAGTAACTATTATTTATGTAAGTAAGACAACGCAAAAGAGTGTTAAGTACGGACTAGTCTTGTACGAAATGTATAAATTCGGAGTAGATTCTAAACACGGTCTTATACGAATTTGGTGTAGACTCTAAGGTAACCGGGGTTGATGAAATGTAAAGACAAATGACAAAGCTGTCTGTATTACTATAAATTGGTGACTTTTAATAAAAAAAACTTTGTATAACCAAACTTCCATATTATGTTAAATATCACAAACCCTTATATTCATCATCAGTTCTAATTTTAAAAGAGCGGAACAAGTATTTTTGTTGCCATACACAATGTAAACTTGGATAAACAATTTTAAAATTGTAAAACCATAAATAAAAAAAAAAGTTTTGATTTTCTACAGATATTATTTATATAAAAAGAAAACTTTATGTATTATACTTAACTAATGGTTTTTAAAGATAAACGTCAATAAACATTGAATAAATGTTACCGATATAAATGTTCTATGGTAAATTTTGTCATCCACAATACATAGCATTATATCGACGCCGGCAATGTTTGAATTCACTTCGACGGCTTTTTCAGTATTTAACGCGGTATTTAAGATACATAATTTGATGGGTACACTAGATAAAGTTTTAACTTTTATAACCTAGTTTTTCATTTTTTAACATATCAACAGTGCATATTAAGAAGAAGTGTCCAGTTTGTCGAAAATGTTCGTGTTATCAAGATATGAAAGATGCATTTAATGTTGATTAATCTATTTTCAGTATTCGAGTAGACGATTTTAGGCAGCAAAATATGTTTTATGTGACAATTATGTACATTTAACGCGAACATTATCTAATAAACATATATTATAAAATCAGTTTTAATATATTTTGCAGTTAACACGTTATAAATTGCATAATAATTTATCAAGATTGAAATATTAATTACAAGCAACTCATAACAGAGTCATTAAGTTTATCTGCTTACTAAATATAAGAAATGGGTTGGGATACTAGAAACAGGATTTGACCTATAACACATAAAGCAGAAATAAGACAACGCCGCACATATGATCAAAGACTTAATTTCATGTTACAGTAGTTCACGCAATGAACAAAAGAATCCAAATGATCCTACTCAAAGATAAAAATCGTCTTATTTTGGGAGTTATAGCTTCTATTATGTGAGTTATATCTTCTATTATGTGAGTTATATCTTCTATTATGTGAGTTTTTGTTTCGTAACAAGGATCATGTTTGCTATTATGATAACATCTGCTTAATTTCCCACGATTGTGTAACTTTTGATATGAAGGAGAACGTACATTCATTACAGAGTTGTCCTCTCCAGCCAGCGACACAACCATTCCGACATACACCTGTCCGAACATCACAAGCCTCGTCGTTACGGCAGTGACCACAGCTCCGGCCACAGTTTGGTCCATATGTATAATCATCACATGCTGTAATAATAATAAAAATATTCAGTAGGTCAGACACTTTAACGCTGTCACAGATGAATCGAATTCTCATAGAAATGTTTTAAAGTACAAATATTATCTTTGAAATAAATTTGCAACAACGACTTTATTATAGAGTTTTATCTATTCCTTTGAATGATTAACTTTTATCACATTTCGTCAAAAGTATATCTTTATTTTGATTACCAGGGGAAAGTTATACTGAGCGACTTAGAGCTTTAAATAGCATGAAGACACATAGCTATTGTTGAATATAAATGCAATAAGATGTGAAGTATACGTCAATAAGAGAGCAATCCAACAACAGAAAAAACCAAAAAAACGAAGACCGTATTTTGACCTTTAGATGTCTTTCGTTTGGATGCTGTCGTTTTCTTCTTTAAGTCGTGCTTTGCTTATTTTATTATATAAAAGAAGACTTACAGCTCGATACCTCTACTGGTGGACTGTTAGTCCCCGAGGGTATTACCAGCCAAGTAGCCGGTACTGGCATGAAAATACGGATATTGATTGATAAAAATGTGTTGTTGTAAAATTTTGGAAAATGTTTTAAATTAAAGAATGTATCTCCCTCATACAAAGATTTGCTCCTCATCATTTATACTAGATTTTGGATAGTCAAATAATTTTGGCCTCGAGCGTCACGTAAGAGACATTATTACCTTATAAAGAGTATTTTACTGTTTTATTAATATTTCTATATTATTTGCTATTTTTCTGCCATTTTTTGTTCCATGGTCTATGCACTGGAAATTATCGTTCTATTGCACCTGTGTGCAGTCTATTGCACTGACCTGTTATGACCTCTCATTCTGAAATCTGATTAGTTGAAAGGTATTCATGTTGTCCAATCAAATTGGGTCTTTTAAACGTTCTTGAGTTTATTGTTTTGGTTGTACATGTATGCTCCTTACCCATTATAATTAATACAGTTGTTACTTTCATGTGTTTTATTTCTAAGAATTTGTTAGAACTGACTCAGTTTGTATTAGGTAATAAAACAGTTATTGAATGTGTAACAGTGCAATAGATCAAAATATATTTCCCTCGGTATGAAGATCAGCTCATTGAGCTGATCTTCATACCTCGGGAAATATATTTTGATCTATTGCATAGTTACATATTAAATAACTGTATATTAATTGTCGAAATGGGGGCGTAGCTGGTGCATTAAAATTGATACCGTTTGTGATATTACAAAACACGAAAAGCTTCAAACGCACAAACTTAGTTAGTGTATACGTCTGGCGTACCTTGGTCACAACTTTGTCCTTTCCAGCCATGTCGACAACCACCATAGCACGTTCCAGAGTCACTACAGCTCATCATACAGTTCTGTGAGCATATCTGTCGACAGTTTTCAGTTGTACAAGCTTAAATGAAGAAATATTTTAACGTTATATTCTTGCGAACTTGCAGTTTCAAAACTTAATGTACAATCAGGTGTTTCTGTCAGTTACTCTTAATATGTTCATGATTTTTAAAAGACAACTAACCATTTTTCAAAACTCTGTATTAGCATATTTTAAATGTTTTAAACTGAGTATACATGTATTTATACCTAAACTAAGACTGTTATGACGTCTTTACACTAAATCCATTCGATGTGTACTGATTGATATTTTAGATTGAAACTAGCTTTCAGTAACTGCAAGTACTCTAAGATCAGTTCTTTGTGTCTTTGGTTATTTTTTCTTTCTTTTTTTTAGGGGGGGCATACATGTTTAACCCCGTCACATTCTATATGTGCCTGTCCCAAGTCAGGACCCTGTAGTTCAGTGGTTGTCGTTGGTCGCTATTTGTTTTTCGTTTATTATTTTGTACATAAATGAGGCCACTCATTTTCTCGTTTGAATTATTTAACATTTTGTCATGTCGAGATCTTTTATAGCTTACTATACGATATAGGTTTTGCTAATTGATGAGGACGGTACGCTTTGATCTACGGCATTTGTTATTTCATTTGCAATCATACCACCTCTTTCCATTTTTATAAGACAGCAAATATCTAAGGCGAAAATGATATTACGAGTGTTTGGATGTATTTTATAAGACATTAAGAAAAATTTACAATTCGTGTGCGAATATAAAAATATTTCAGTATAGCTTACAAAAAGGTAAAAATTGACAAAATTAAAAAGCTTTGCACCAGCTGAAGCCATAAACAACAGCTGTCTAATATGTATCTATGAACCACATTCACCGCGCAACTATCTTTTCTTTACTGATATTGGTCTAAACTAATGCATTATATTTTGATCAAAGAGTACATTTTTAATTGACAAATGGACGAAAATTATAACAATTGTGGCATTCTTGACAAAAAAAAAAACTACTGTAAAAGAATATTTGTTTGTGCACTCTATTAAAGAAGAATATGGATAACAATGTTATCGTTACACCCTGCAGAATGTTAATTCAAGTATTATACATAATTGAAAGTAATCAATAGTCTACACCGTGTTCAGTAGTATCATCATATATGGGTGTGTGCGGTACAAATGGTCAATTGTTCTGTTATAGTAATATATCATACGTATCATTATTGTTGCATGAAGAATTTAAAAAGTCATGAGAATATGTCTTTATGGTTATTCTCTATTTTTTAGATAATCAGTTTCCTTGCTGGAAGGTGCTGTCGTATACTATTCAACACATGATTTTTCGATTAGGCGATAATTAAAAATGATATATTATTGTCATTGCTTAATGTTTATGCTTAAGGAAACATATTCAATTGGCAAACAAAAGTTTACCTTTAAACAAAACAAAGAGACTTTCAGATTCCGTAAACGCTTGAAATAGTTCAAGAAATGCATATGTATTCTTTAAACCTCATCTCATAGAAATAAAGAGACAGGAGTTCCCTCTGCTGGAGAATTTACCCATTAAAGTTGCAGAAAACAAACATTGAAATTGATAACAGGTCACCAAAGTGTGGTCGAAGGACGAAATTTTTACCATTTGATGACACAAGCAGTATAGCTAAATATATCATTTTGATGCTTGCTATTAAAAGATGGAAATACCTTTAGCGAGCAAAAATTAGTTTTAGGTATGATTCTTCCCATTTGTGATTTCAGAGATTAGTGTTGTCTTACCATCTACAAGAATTAATAGAGAAATATTGTTATAAATCTTCCTCCAAAAAATAGTTCCCTATTTCAGTTTTTTTTATTATCTAACTCATCCGAGGTTGTGATTAGTAGAAACCTTCGTCCGAATTTCAAGAGAGTCTGATAAAAACAAATGAACGCTCTATCCTGGAAACAAGAATTGATATGAGATAAATTTTTGTACAAATCGCCCTCCTCAAAAGAGTTCGCAAATTGTATTTTTCTGTTTTCTTATTTATCGAACTCATCCTAGGTTTTGATTAGAGGAAACCTTCATATACATTTGAAGAGGGTTTTATCAAAAAAAGCTATCCTGGCGACAACAAAGTGATGACACATAGACGGACATATAAAAAATCGTAGTAATTACCACCGCAACTTCGTTGAGTTGGGTTTAAAATGTTTTATGTGACTTGAGGCGTTGAAAAAAGCAAAAGGAAACCAAGAGGACAATCCAAATCTAAAAGTCGATGAAAAAAAGACAATTCAATTTTTATTTCCTTTAAACCTTTTAAAAAATAACAGACAAACCTTTTCAGTTATTTATAGATAAAAGGGCAAATAAAGATTAAAGAGATTAAAATCTTTCATATTGTCTTAGGTTTTGAAAACAGAGGAAACGACAACTTGAAATTCAATAACTCAATGATACAATTAGTTGCTTATGAACTTCCCTTTTCCTGTCCACTGTAATATTGTATATTAAAAGTCAGAATTAAGTTACAGTGTAAATGGCTTATTATTTTACAGTTTGTTTTTGACATATGTGAGAAATGCTTGGGTTTCACACTTAAACTGGATGTATTATCGAAGTTATTAATACTATTAGAACCAAGTACTGGACTCTGAAGGTCAAAACAATAAGTCAATGTACTCGCAAGAACAAATCAGCAATTTCCAAACAGAATTTAACTACAAGTGAAAGATTTGCTAACACTGGCATAAGTTGAAAGAAATTAACTTCTGTCTTACGTCAACTTTTACAATTTGTAACAAATATTTACAAAAAAAAGTTTGATGCATATACTAACAAAAGTTATTGCACTCCTTCAGACATAATTAAGTGCCCATTTTAGAAATTTACGAAACTATAGTGAAATAAATTGCACGATTATAAAATAAACAAGTAGAACAAATACACATTTTATTGAGTTTATCACAGAAATTCGTTCAATGGTATTATTGTTTGGATGAATAGTGCTTGTGCGAAAAAAACAATAATTGCAGAACAGCTTTCATCTGGTGCTGATAAGCAAAGAAATTAATTAGTTCATTTACTTTATTGAAAATCTTTTCTTATTTGTTTTTCATATACATTCATCCATATCTACTGACAAATCATCATTTCATGGTGTTAGAAATAGACAGAGGTAGCATATGAACAAAAACATTTACTAACATATAAAAATACTTCGGATAATGTCAGAATATTTTTTTGAAATGACGTATATTGAAGAGTGTAGGAGCTTTCTTTTAGTGACTACAATCATTCTTTGATACGGTTGTTTTACCTCTTAACTTGTAATTGTGATTATTTCATCTGTATTGTACCTTCTACGTAGATTTTGTTATTTTAATGATCGAGATTATCAAGGTGTGGTTTAAGTACTCAAATTCATATTGCTCCGCCACATGTTTAGGAGTCTGTTCCAAGATAGGAACCTCGATAGTGGTTGTCTTTTAGTGTCATCTCTATTGTTGTTTTGCTGCTTTTTTTTTTTTTTTTTTTATTATTTTGTCTTTTAGAATTTGGTGCTGATAGCAGATCTTTTATAGAGAAATCGAACGGTCTGATTTATGTACGAAACATTAAACGACTACCACTGAATTACAGGCTCCTGACTTGGGACAGATCCATACAGAACGCAGCCGGTTTAAAAATGTATGCAGGAGTCCAATCCTCCCTCTAACCTTGAACAGTGGTTTTACAGCACAAAATAGAAGTAAAACTATCAAAATCAGTTGACAACAGGTTTGACACATCAGAAAGCTATAAAAAAAAAACAACAACTAACAAAAAGACTAGTTAAAGTCGACACAAAGTACCGATCTGACATTACTCGGAGTTACTGAAAGCTAGTTCAAAGCCAATACAAAAATAATGTATCCAAGACTAGATAATCAATCGTTGCACACCCAATGATTAAGTGTAAAGACTTAATAAACAGTCAGAGAAATCACATGATCTTGTGAAAAAGTCAAAATATTAGTATCGACCGAATCTATAAGACCGTATAAATCCTCTTGCATGGTTGTGTTTATTGTAGAAGATCGGTTGATGTCTGTTGGATCAGGACATTTTTTTATTTTCATTAACATTTTTTATTTCAAATTCTTCACAAAAGTCATAACTAGAGTAAAACAAAATAATAATTTTGAAAAAAAAATATACTTAAGTTTTAATATAACACCCACTGAATATGTTGTGTGAGTCCGTTTAAAACTTGAACAAATTGCATGACGGCTTCCATTCGAATTTGAAGTGATACATTTATATATAATGTTAAAATACTATTCTATTATTTAAAATTCTCAAGACACTTTTTTAAATACATTTCTCGTATATCATCTGTAAAATTATAACTGGGTTGTTACAGTCACGTGATTGTAGTTATCTTTGATTTCTAGTATAAGTTTAATACAACGTAAGACAGTTTTAAACGTTTGAAGAAACTGGGTTTTAAAAAAAATTATTTTCGAATTGTACATAATGACTGTCTTATATAAGTAAGTCATAAAGTCAATATCTATAATCTATGGAAGTAAGTACTTTCTTTGAGAGTTGATCAAACTTTAAGATCTGAAAACCTTGTATATTTAGAAACGGAAACATTAAATCTGTACTTAAAATGTAAACCTATTAGTAAAATCATGTCTAAATGCATGAGATATTTATATACATGTGGGTGGGATGCGTGTCACTAGGATGCAATTCACTTATCACAATAATTTAAAAAGTTAAAAGTGCAGTAACATATAATTTTCTACATCAATACAAATTATGAACAGCCGTTGTCTGGTTTCCCCAATAGAGAAAATATAGTAGAGTTGTCGCAGTTAATGAGGTATGCGATTAAAAAAAAATAGTGACTATATTACAAGTAGCGTTGCCATTCTTTGAGATTTAATGAAAACAGATTTAATGCTCATGTATACAATCTACCGGCCAATGAAAGCTATATATTCATAAAGACGTGACATTTACCCCAAAAAATATTGGAAATGATAAACATTTGTATAAATTTCTGCAAATAGAATCACTCGTCTACAATATATACCTATATGTGTGATAAAATGTGGTTAAAAGTTTTGACCAATTTATGAAAACTATATGTAGAATCGTGTTTGTACTTAAAATTTTACCTTCATTGAAATCTTCGGCGTGACTGCAAATCGAACCTATTATGAAGTATGTAGAATCCTTAGGAAGAAACAAACGGAACAGTATCGCTAAGTAAGAGAACTAACGAGACGCTATTTATCGTAACATTGTGTATCTAGATTGCGAAGCAAAAGTCTAATATGTTTTAATAACTTTGAAAAAGAACATAGATGACCTTAGATGTTGAATTTAGTAATAGTAAATCAAAGTTGAAAAGTTTAATTGGTATATGGTTTAGAAAAAAATTGATTATTTAAAACATATGTTCATGATTATATCATTGAAAATTGTGTTTCGTTGGGTCTTTAGAAGCGAAGACGTAAACCGACATTTTAACTTTAACCTATTGAGCAATTTTTGGTGGAAAAACTATGACAAAAATATCAAAACGTGTCCCTGCAATCTTTATTGGTTTATACTTTAAGTAGAATATGACATAAGAGTTCATTTCGATAAAAATTATTATTTGTCGTCAACGTTTTTTCTCTATTATCATAGCGCTAGCCTTACCGTTTGAGGTTGTTAAATTGTTGAATGCTATACCTACATTAGTGTCATTCTCATTTTTTGTGTAACTTGAAGTGTTTTTTGATAAATTTATCATTTTGTGGTCATAAATCTTCCTCATACATGATTATTTTATCATTAACATCTTTAATGGAAGACTTACTTCGTTGTTTCAATGTTCTCGATTTAACCATCGGGATCAAAACGTTATTGCAAAACCGGTTATCATTACAATTTAAAAACAGAAGTAAAGACAATTTGTCATGGGTAATAATGTTATGTAACCGAACTTACAATACAACTTTTTGTTTTATTTCTAGAATACGTTACAACCATTTAGCAAAATAAGTTCACTGCATACAGCTTCATACGAAAGACAATACATACAGTGAGTAGTACGACAGAATTTACGATACGATTACTACTACTGGTGGATTTCTAGTTCCTGATGGTATTATCAGCTCAAAGCTTTGATAATGTTATGATTCATTATGAACAATTTGATAAATACTAACTTCATTTTTTGTGTTAATTTAAAATAAAAACAAGAGTTTCGATTCCAACAGGGAAAATCAAATTTAAGATGTTTCGTCTAACCATTAAAAGGACTTTTATGGCTCCCAGTGTATTTTTACACCTTTTCAAAACATTCGGTGTTGAAAGCTCTTGATAAAATTTAATAATCCAGAAATGCGATTTTGACGCATATTTGGTATATCTTTATCTTGCTCCAACATAAATGTCAGAAAAATTACAATGAGCGCAATCCCTTTGAAAGAAGTTACAGTAAGGAACGCCCCCTCAGTTTATCTGTCCTTATTTCAATTCATAACTAGAGTTCTGAATAGCTTTTGTGTTTAAACAATGCAATTATTTGATTTTACTACACTTCCCACTAAAAAATTAGTTTAAACAATTCAGCATAATGAAAAAAATTAAATTATTACTTTTCATAAAAGAAATGCCACATATATATAAACCCCTAATAGACTCTCTCTCTCTCTCTCTCTCTCTCTCTCTCTCTCTCTCTCTCTCTCTCTCAGAGAACCGTTTTAGCCTTTCAACTGCTTTGATTCAAATTTGATATGGTGAACCATATTATGAGCATGCATCTTAAATGAGTTTTATACATCTTTCCAAACAATGCACCAAACAAAATAAAACGAAATAACTGACTTGGATAAAAGTAGATTTTGTCGAATGATACTAGATCACAATAACTGCTTTGTTCTTCATTGGATATCGGAAAATCTATTGGTATATGAGAGGATGTGTTTCATAGCTGGATTTGGATTTCGGTACTTTTACATGCTTGTTTACAAATATTTGGCTTCGAGAGTTCCTGATTAAAGTAAATACAGAAAAGCGCTTCGAACCCAACAAATTTATAAAGTAACAGTTATTTTTCATACGGTTGGTTTGGATCCCCTTCTAAAAATTAAAATTCGAATGTTGAAATCATTTACACAGTTTTTTTCCCGAAAGTTTGTTCACATGTTCACAGAGGGAATTGCAAGCATTAAGAAATAAAAGTCTAGCATTATTGTACAATCTCAATTTTGCGCATGGAATTGCAAAATTGTCTCATTTTAAATCTATACAAAAGAGAGGCAAAAAATACCAAAGGGATATTCAAACTCATAAGTCAAAAACTAACTGATAAAGCCATGGCAAAAATAACCGAAAAACGATGAAAACACCAGGCTGACACATACACATTTGTGGTAGTACCTTTGAAGCATTAATCAATTTGTTTTATTTGTTACTGTAAATGATGAGCTTTACTTGCGAATATACCTAAATACAGAACGAATATTTTTCTAATTTTTCTAATATCAATGCGTAACTTCGTCCGAGTCACTTGTTCCACAGAGCAACAGACTTGCGATTGAAATACAAATATTTTTGAAAAAAATCATCAAAATATCAGGCTTATATGTTTTTACGCCAGATGCGCATCGTCTTCAAAAGATTCACCAGTGACGTTCGAATAAAAAAAGTTAAAAGGCCAAATAAAGTGTTTAGTTGAAGTTCATTGAAGACACAAAATTCTGAAAGTTTTGCCAAATAAAATGACAACGCCATGGCTAAAAAAGAAAAAAACAGACAAATAATAGTACAGAAAACACAACATAGAAAACTAAAGCCTAATTTATTTCTGGGGTAGAAAATTCTTAATACCGGTATCTCGAACAATTCAAAGTTAGGTGACTATTACATCATGTTGATCCAAATGTTAGTAATTAAATGGAGTTTCAGTCAAAAATGTTGAGTCAAATGTACTCTCACGGATCTTTCATCTTTGAAAATTAAACTTTTTTGTGATTTGTGTGCGCAATGAGATTATGAGAATAACTGCAATGTTCAACGAAGGACCTAACAACACCAGTTTACGAATGCGAGAAGCGTATGAGTGAACTATCAGCGTTTTTCGGTCACGAGTCAAATATGTTTCGTCAAATGAATTCTTGGTAACTTTTTGTTATTAACTAGATAGAAAGGCATGGAACTATATCCTTTTTCCAATACCAAGTGTTGTATGACGTCATGAGATAAAAATACAGTGTTTATTTCACGTGTTTATTTCACAAGGTGTCAATGGCAAAATATCCTGTAATTCACATCTCCTACAATTCGGAAAACTAAACCAGTAACAATGTAATTGTATTTCATAAAGAGTCAGTTGTATAAGATTTTTATGTCTCACTAACAGAATTTAAACCCTTTTTACGGATTTACAAACCATATATAACGACCTTGTAACTAACTTTTACTACTTAAAAGCTCACAAGAACGATTAAACAAATTGCAATATACTAAAAAAGTATAACAAGAATACTGAACTCCAAGGCAAAATGAAAAAGGTTTATAATGAAATTCGTTTATACTCCTAAATAACGCACATTTCGACTTGATAATTTCGATGTTAAATTCATTCTAAAATGTAATACTCACAAGACATTTGTTTGTTTTAATTTGATTGGGTATTTACTGTATTTCATTGCAAACAAAACAACGTTATTGAATTCTTTAATTTTCATCGCATTGAAACTCTAATATTCTTCAAGAATATTAAAATATTTAAACGAAAATTTCGCCCTGTTCGACATGCATTTATGGATAACCCACCTCCAGGTGTCCCACTGTAAAAGGGTAGTTTCTATTAAATAAATATACAAATATATTGTCTGCAGTTTCAAACATCAGTCTCAAAGGTGTCCAACTCCTTATTTTTTATTTTCCATAGGCTTTTAACTCTGTAAAAAAAGCTTTTACTCACTTTGTTAATGAATTCTTCTGAAACTTTGACACCTGAAAAATCCTAAAATAAAAACCAAAAAGAACCTCATGAAAACAAAACAAAAAACAATCAAAAACTTAACATACCTGTCTCCACAATTAAAACCAAGGATAAAATAATTATAATCCAATACACACAATTCTTCATAGTTGACTGTGGGGTACTAATATTTCAATACACTTCAGTATGGTATTTTTTTTAGTCTATATACTTGAGAATAAAATATGACATTCAAGTTAACAGAGAAATAATATGTAAAGAAAAGTATAAACGTTTCCTTCCGCTCTATGATTTTAATTGGACAAGAGCTGAAACAGTCTGCGTCACGTTCACAGTGATCTTCTGTATCAACTGATTAGGCAATGTGTTTAACATTATCCATTGTTGATAAACAGTTTCGGTACATACCTTCTATTGTTTCAACATTCTCAGGAAAATAAAAACATTTATTGTAAGAAATAGCCGAAAAAAGCTGATAACTTTTGAAAGTTATAACATTTATTGCACTTTGTAAAAAAGAAACTTATTGTGTCAGATTATTTGAAGATTGATCTTTAAGGCGCGAAATCGTTGTATATTATTCAAATTACAAAAACGATACTTTCATTACATGTTTTTTCATAAATAACAGCAATATAGAATCAAACAAGACCCAAACAAAATAGTTGAAACCGTTCAAGTAAATATTGCACTGAGATGAAAAGTTTGGGAAATATCACAACCAACATATTATATCACTATGACAATAATACAGGTACCAACAAAGACGAATGACAAAATGAAAGATATATGGAAGAGGCGACTTTAAACTATGATATTTGTATTTTTGTGTCTGAAATCTTAGCAAAATATAATAAGTTGGCTCATCTGCATGTTCGACTAAAGAATTGTCCATTAGATTGACAAAGATTCTGTCCGCAGTGAAAGAGGTCAGAAATACTGTGAAACTGTTTACTCGCGTAGTGGTACTAACCATATGTGGATTCTAAAAAAAACTAAAGAACTTCTGGATAATTTTAAATCTCGATCTTTCTCTAAAATTAGTTCTATCTATTAGTTTCAACCCTGTATACCACCATTCCCCATGTGAAATTGAAAAATCGTCTAAAAGAAATAATCCATAATGCTTTTTTCAACATAAAAATGGTAACATGCGCTATAAATTTATTACTTTGGATACCAAACGGCATATTTTGTTAATAGTGAACAAAAAGGTAAAACATGCTACACAGAGGAGCAAATGATCAGTATGCTGGAGTTTCTTATTGACAACATATTTGTTGAATTTGGAGGTAGACTTTTTCAACAAATTGTCGGCATTCCTATGGGAACGAGCTGTGCGCCTCTACTTGCCGACCTCTCCTTTTTTCATATGAGTCGGAGTTCCTTCAGACACTTGTCAAAAACAAGAAGATCAAAGAAGCCAGATCATTCAATTTCACATTCAGATATATTGATGTTGTTCTTTCCATTAACAATCCAAACTTTTCTGATTGGGTTCCATTAATATATCCTCCAGAACTAGAGATTAAAGAAACAACAGACATCTGCCTTATTTTTAGACTTATACCTCGAATATGACATAAGCGGAAATCTCAGTACCAGAATCTATGACAAACTAGATGATTTTAATTTTGAAATTATCAATTTCCTCCACCTTAGTAGCAATATATCAACTTCACCTGCATATGGGATATACATTTCCCAACTCATTCGGTATTCAAGAGCTTGCAGCTGCTACTCAGACTTTGTCAAACGTCACCGGTGTCTGAGCAGAAAGTTGATGAACCAGGGGTATATCAAAGAACGTCTCGTCCTTTTTCTAAAAATGTTCATCTGAAGATACCAAGACCTTGTTGATAAATATTCCGTATCAACTTCACAAATAATACACGATGGTCTTGAAGTATAGATTCTAGGTACTGACGTTGTTTATCATCTTAAAAACGTGTTATAGTATTCTTTTATTTGTCTTTGTAAATTATTACTTTTACTGTTAAGCCTATTTTTGACGGTATCCATTTGACGTGGCTCGGTACTTGTACATCCCGTCATTGTGTTGTTGTACTATGGTAAATTTTGTATTTTTGTCTTTCGTTTTTGCTAATGTGCTTTGTCTATATGCCTTTTTGTTTGTCTTTGTTGACATATTTGATTGTTTTGTAGTGATTAAAATTATAACACAATGTTGATTGCTGTACCCTATTTTTGACATTTTTACATGTCTGTTTGGTTTTTTTCACACATCGTTGTCAATATAATGGAATTTTATGCGACATACAAGTGAGAGGTTTAGCTAGCTATAAAACCAGGTTTAATCCATCATTTTCTACATAAGAAAATGCCTGTACCCAGTCAAGAATATGACAGTATACTTCCCATACCCAAATTATTTGATCCGTCTAAGCATAAATACGTTCAAAGATAAACACTTTTATCCATTGGCGTTTTCAAATTAGTTAACAATAAAATTGAATTACTAGTAAGTAAAAAGAGTGAAATAAATGGTTTTTTTTTTCGTTTGCTTCTGTCAAAAACAGTTTCAGTTTGCATATTCATAAATTTATTAACATGCATTTGTACGCATATCGCTTTTAGGGGCTATGTTTTAATTGTCAAAATTATGTCATGCGAAATTATGATACCGCATCCCACAATGTTGTTGTTACCGGATTTTCCGTTGTTATATGTGAAACAGATAGTCTATAATGGTCAAACAACTCGTGATGTCGTCCGTAAAATGTTCGATGGGATGACTTTCACTTAGAATCCTAGGTTTATTAGCAACCTTTTAAGAATCAACCCTCTATAAAGGAAATCAACTGGGAGATATATACTCCGTATGTAAGCGCTGCTGGAATGTTGCTACATAGAAATGGAAAGTTCACAATTAGGAAGCTGAAATTATCTCTTTTGTTATAAAGGTTTGTTCTGCATTGTCAATTTCTAGATGCAAACCAAGATATGAAGCATAATTTTGGGGCCCTTCATAGCTTGCTGATTGGTGTGAGCCAAGGCTCCGTCTTGAAGGCCGTACTTTGACCTATAATGGTTTACTATTACATGTTGTGACTTGGATAGAGAGTTGCCTCATTGGCACTCATACCACATCTTCTTATATCTATTAACTGCATTTGTGGTATCTTTTATTTCTAGTACGATGGGCTAGATGCGTTCAACATAGTCATCAAACTTTGAATTATTTAATGAGAGGATATCATCTTTATAGCGGAACGTTAATTTAAGGATAATGCTGGCTCCTTTTCATTCTTCCTACGAAGTTCCTACTTGATGTCTAACATAAATAAAGTGTGGCGGGGGTAAATGTTGAGTTTCCAAGTGAATTGTCAAAACCTTATTCCTTTATCAAGCAGTTTATGTTGTGTGATTTACACACAATATCAATGTTGATTGGGGCTTAATCTGCTATGACAATACAATATTTGTCATGGAGGAAAGACATGTGTTTAGCAACGTTTTTGGGACTTTGAAGATCGATGTAACATGAGTGTTCTTTCAGTTTTTTAAATCTTATTTGTATCAACGACCTCACACCCTTCTTTTTCGTCTCTTTTTCGCGTTTAGCCATTTTCCTGTCACAATACTCGACTGCATCCATCCGTATTTTTTTTTAAAGTTGTATTTCCAATTGATGGATTTAAGCTCACGGTATTTCGAGCCTCTGGATAACACATTTCGAAGAGAAGTGTTATTGACAATGTTCAGGCCACCAGTAAAAACGTCGGATTATTTATGAATGGGAAACTAGCACAGGTGCAGTCAGGAGGTAAAGATTTGAAGTCGTCAATATTGAGATCCTGCAACACATATTTGTAATTGGAAATTATAGTTGCTATTGCGTTTGTATAGGTAAAAGAGATGATAGGTACAGACGGATCATTACAAATGTAGGAAGGTATTTTCAATTGAACTGAATAATGATGAAGGATATTGCCTAAAATGATGACATCGAGACCTTTATTCGCAAAAGATCGTTTCTCTGTTTCATTTTTTTCCCAATTCCAATCGACGTGAAAAGTCTTTGGCGGTTAATAAACTCATCATAGATACCAGGAATAAAATTTTGTATGCCAGACGCGCATTTCGTCTACAAAAAACTCATCAGTCACGCTCGAATCAACAAAGTTAAAAAAGCCAAAATAAAGTACGAAGTTGAAGACCTTTGAGGACCCAAAATTCCGAAAGGTTTTGTCAAATACAGCTATTCCTAGGGGGTAGAAAGTCTTACTATTTCGAAAAAAAATTAAGTTTTGTAAACAGTTATTTTTAAATTATGACCATATCAATGGTAATTCATGTCAACACATAAGTGCAATATCCGAGATTTTAACTCTTAAGTATGCAATGGTTGAATTATGATTTATAACATTGGTTTCCAAACATTAGTTGTACAGAATATAAAGCTTCGCGCGAATGTGACGAATATCAAACGGCCTCTGTATGATTGACAGAAGGCATTAGTAGAGACATTATGAAGAGTACGTGATATATAATGACGATGACCATGACTGCGTCTATGTCGAGGATTAAATTGAAAGTCTCATTAACCAAGCTGCTGTAGGACTAGATAGAAAAACTATATCACCAGTTTGTTATTGCAACCATATTGTATGGCTGTTCCCATTTTTCGAATCCAGTAGTCTTCCTTTTATCTACGGAGAGGAATGAAACCTTAGGGTTGGCAGTCCTGTGGTATATTTTTTCGGTGATGCGAATTCGCGAAGAAAGGATTGAATGATGAGATTGATTTAAACGTTGATAAATAATTTCATTAACATTGTTGTTATGTCTGATATATGGTCATACATTCGTTTATCAAGCCTTCCTTTAGTTTCACCGACACGTACCAATCCGAAAAGGTTCCACTTTAATCGTTAGACGAAATTTGTTGTTTTCAATTCATATTTCCGTTTTACAAAAGATACATTTTTCTTCTTAGGGATTACATTTTGGTGTCACAAATAATGAAGGCGATTAATCTAGGTTTTTGAAAAACCTTAGAAGACAGTATATATATACCATAAAATGTTTTAATGTACCATGAGAACGAGACATAATCATTGGCAGAAATTCGGCAAATCCTTACACCTATAGGGTAGATTCTAGACAGTTTTAGGATCTAGTTCATGCCAATATCAACGCAAAGAAGAAAACACACGTATTGATGATTAATTAAGAATTATGCGTTCAAATTAAGATGGTCAAGACAGATTTTTAATTAATGTATAAACGCCTTAACAGCTGGAAATACGATTAACGTTTTAAATGTATTTTCTTTCTGTTTTGCGTTTTTACTTGTGGGCTAGCAGACATCGTGTTTCTCTATTCTGCAAATGACTTGGCTGTATAGACATCTCGGAAGTGTCCAATATCAAAATATAGGAAGGCACTTGTTTTGTGTATGCAGATTTTTTTTGCAGTTTGTTTTGAGTTTGATTCAGAAACTGTGAGAACACTTTGATATAGTATTTAGCATTATTTTACCAGGGCGTTTTTAGCTCATCTGACCTAAAAGTTTAATGAGAGATTCTCATTACTTGGCTTCCGTCGTCGTAGTCGTCTGTTAACGTTATACAAATATGTCTCCTCTGAAACTGCATGCCGATTGGAACCAAACTTGGCCACAACCATCATTGGGGTATCTAGTTTAAATCAAAATGTGTTCGATGATCCCGCTTGCCAACCAATATGGCCGACTTGGCTTGAAAAAGAACATAGGGATATAATGCAAGTTTTGTCTATTATTTTGAAACCGCTATTAATAATGAAAAACAGACGGAACAGAAATGTTCGGAATGTTTAGATCTACTTACTGTCTATAACACCAACAACTGTCAGAAGACTCTTTATAGTTCTTGCCCGTAAAGGACGATTTTTACCAGAATTATTCATTATTGTCTATCATCTTGAAAACGTTAAAATGGAGAGAGATAACATTCAAATATTGATACAATTATCACCAAGATAAGATCGACAAATTTGTTAACATCGCCCATGTCGTAGGTCGACTTCCTGTAGAAGTTAATACTCCTAAATAACGATTTACAAGCTTATGTTTGATTAATTTGAAAATGGAAATCAATCTTTTAAGTAAATTAATTAAATAAAATCTGTTTTTGATGAAACTATAGTAGATTAAGAAACACTGTAAACAGTAAATAAACAAGACAAGGTCTGAAAATGTACCTACATTACTGAAATGGTCAGTCAAATTCTGATAAGAGTTATTGACCTATAATGAAGATTTTTAACAATATTTACTTTTAAGGTAAAAACTATAATAGATCGGGAAAACGTGTAAACAGCGCAAATGATCAGCAAGAAAAAATCTAGAAGAAGGTAAGCATATCCGAAATTGTCAGTGGACTCCTTATAGGAGTTATTGCCCTTCAATGGTGAATTTATAATTTTTCTCCTTTTGACGAAAACTATAGTAAATTTAGGAAACAAAATATTCTAGCACGACCTGATCTCCAAATAAGCCAACATTGACGAAATTGTCATTTTACTACTTGTCCTTGATGTTTCCCTATTTTTATTCGTTGGGTTTAAAACTATAGAAAATAAAGAAACTGGAAACAGCCAATATGATAACCAAGACAAGATCTACAAATAGGTAAACAAAGCCAAACATTATAAGTCCTTTTCTTATAGAAGTTATTGTGATTTTTACCCATTTTTTTTTTAATGAAAGCGAGGCGATTTGAACATGATATATGTCTATAGTTGCAGATAGTATATTGACTGCTGAATGTCTTTGCTGGGTTTACTGAGTTGCTGGGTTTCCATCTTATGGATTTGCAGAATATTTTATATCAGAAAAAAATTGTGTATGTAACAATGTTTTAGATTTTAACGAGAGAAATTTATGTATTACTGAAAAATTATGACACCAGGGTTTTCGATATCACAAACTAGTCAAAACATTTACTAAATTTTATCATCGGTATAAGGACATCATTCGTAAATATAGCTCAACATGCAGACTTCTTATACGTTCAGGTATTTCACATCCAATTTTTTATGGAAATATTCTTTATAAAGCACAAAAATGTCAGTATTCACCTCTGAAGCTAACAAAACCTTTAAATAGACTTACTAAGAAGGGATATAGTTACGATACTGTTGTCAGGTCATTAAAGATTGCATATTTTGGCGTTAATATTGATTCACTTATAGGGTCTTTGCATCGGCACTAAACACATTTATTTAAAAACCAGTTGTTGGCATGCCACGGGTTATGTTCTTCTCATATATGTTATGATGGTATGATACTAAACCCCTAACGGGAAGGATTGTGCCTGATATTCATATGATGAAGACATAATCTTTCAATCAGTTTAATTGAAGTCTGTAGCTGGCATGTCAGTTAACTGCTAGTAGTCTGTTGTTATTTGTGTATTAGTGTCATTTTGTTTATTTTCTTTGGTTACATCTTCTGACATCAGACTCGGACTTCTCTTGAACTGAATTTTAATGTGCGTATTGTTATACGTTTACTTTTCTACATTGGCTAGAGGTATAGGGGGAGGGTTGAGATCTCATAAACATGTTTAACCCCACCGCATTTTTGCGCCTGTCCCAAGTCAGGAGCCTCTAGCCTTTGTCAGTCTTGTATTATTTTTAATTTTAGTTTCTTGTGTACAATTGAGAGTTTAGTATGGCGTTCATTATCACTGAACTAGTATATATATTTGTTTAGGGGCCAGCTGAAGGACGTCTCCGGGTGCGGGAATTTCTCGCTGCATTGAAGACCTGTTGGTGACCTTCTGCTGTTGTCTGTTCTATGGTCGGGTTGTTGTCTCTTTGACACATTCCCCATTTCCATTCTCAATTTTATCCTAAATATTGAGATTTAGTAAACTGGGCAACAAGTCACACATTCTGCATCTAATTGTTATACATTTAAGGCTCTATATGTATATGAATGCGTTATAAACTAGTTTCAGTGTTATTAACTTATGAACCTTGCTTTTAACACACAAGGAGAATCTTAAGGGTATCACACTATCCCAAAAGTATCTGTACATATATGAACAATAGATTACATCACTACACTAAGCGAGGAAAGATATTTTTTACTGGAAACAGTTGTTTTCGATTAGGCCCATTTGTTGATATAGTCGAGCGTTTAATTTGGTCAGGTTTTATGGACTTCCCCCTTTTATGAATTTACCTTGGAGTTTGGTATTTTTGTTCATACTTTTTTACAAGACTATAAAACCGAAACAAACCAAAGAAATAAAAAAAACCCGCGCATACCGCGCTGTTTTTTCCCAGGATGAATGTTGGAAGGTCACAGACACCCACATCGTTTTAATTGTACATTGACTAATAGCATGGACTTTTATTTTCGTGGATCTCTTTGTGGTTCTTATATTTAATGTGCCTATTTTTTCCTGATGTTTTTCGGGTTTATTGAGATAGAACAAATGTTAACTAACGAAGCAGTCTTTGCATAGATATTAAAAGTAAAAAAAATAGAGTTTGAAACTTTTTACCTCTCAAAACTATTTGTGTTATCTTCCCATGTAACTACTGTCGCATTGAATTTGCTCTATCTTAGTCTTTTAGGTGTTTACGTTATATATTTCATTTTATTATCGTTGTCTGTTGAACCTTTTTTGTAATTTGTGGTTCTTTTAATTTGGGAAGTTCATATCAAGTTTAACCTTTCGATTACATTCATTAAAAGTGAAAGATGAAACGTTTTCTTACAGGTGTACGTGATAGTAGTCAAACGTTCAATGAAATGAGTACAAAATCATAATCCAGAAATAATATCAAAGCTGCAACTTTTCACTAGCGCATCTGTAGTTTTTGATATTTTCTTTCTATTTTTACCTATCAATATAGGTTCTCAATTGATTGATTCCATTATGCAATTAATATGGGCGTTTATGCTGTAAAATAATTTATTTACAAACAGAAAGCCAGCAAAAAGAAATCTGTGCCACCTCAAAATCCCTGATGTGTGACAGTTACAAACATTAATTAATTTAAGTAAAATAACAAGCTAACTGTAAGCTATTTCTGTACGTTAAAACGTTGTCTTGACGATATTTCCCAACTCTTTATTTTGCCCAATTCTTTTTTATCTTTAATTTAAAGAACAACAAAAAGTTGTATTAATATATATTATCTAATTCGATTTGAATTTATATTCGTGAGCCCCGATTAATTGACGTGTTCATATTTTCTGCCTTTCTTCCTTTTCTTTGACCAAACCCAGGAGGTGTATGTAGACTTTTTAGAAAGTTGTTTTGCTTCACCTCGATCAATAGTTGGAATCTCATGGACAACAAACTTTCTATTACCCTGATAATCAGTCAATAGGTGTATAAAACTCCTTGTCTCAGAGGAATTTGAACTCATTCTCCTGTGACATATTAGCACCTACTCCTGTACTGTGTTTAGCACCCTAGACTACTCGACCAAGTAGACTAAAACCATGTTTTATTGCGACCTAATGCAAGTTCTTGTTTGGAAAGATATGTCATTTTGTTCATTCATCAGACAGACATATACCAACACGATTACATAAGTCATAATAAGATATAAATCTGTATAAAAAAGTAGGTTGACTATTAATTAATGACGAATAATTATTATCGCGAACAGGTGATACAGGTGATAGAGATAAGGTGGAAATTGGACAGTAAATGCTTTTTGATATTTCAATTTATTATATTAAATTTTGACAATTTGGTTTTGATAATATTTTAAGTAAAGATTTCCTTCGCAACTGCATTTACTTTCCAATAACTTTCAGTACCTTGGGTTTATTCGGTTCTAGAAGTTAACAACTGCAATCACTTCTATAATTTTATTTAACATTAAAGCAAAAAAGACTCTATAATCTGCTTCAGGATATGTGCACAGCTTTTAAAAGCTAACTGGAATTCAGTTTGAAGAAACTGTAAAATAATTTAAAACACTCATTTTATACAACAAATTACTGCCAGAAAATGTTAAGCGATACTAATGCATAACAATGCCTTTTAAAAGAACAACAGTTCCGATCTCGTCAAAACTATGTAACTATGTTCACATGAATTATCATTGATATGGTCATGATTACAAATTAACTGCAGCTGTTTACAAAACTTTGAATTTTTCGAAATACTAAGGATGTTCTATCCCATGAATAGATTACCTTAGTTGATTTGGCAAAACCTTTCGGAATTTTGGGTCCTGAATGCTCTTCAACTTCGTACTTTATTTTGCCTTTTTAACTTTTTTTTATTCGAGTGCCACTAGTGAGTCTTTTATATACGAAACGAGCGTCTGGCGTACACAATTTTTAGCCTGGTATCTATGATGAGTTTATTTAAAGCTATTTTATTTATGTTTAAAACGCATTGAGATTTAAAAACACACAATGAGATGAACAAACTTAAAAAAAAACATCGAGGATTACAAATTACACATCATGAGATTTGTGCTCACATTTCATGCGCAAACGTAGGGTGCATTTGGATATGTATCTAAGATTCGAGTTTTAAAATGCACTTGGTAGTTATTGAGTAAAATTAATGTCTCCTTTAGCATTTGGTATCAAACTACATTCATGTATGCGCATATAACACTAAATGTGGAAGTTTTACCCAAAAGAAACTTCAGTATATTATTTATGTTTTAGCGGCGCGTAAAATCAATGAGGGTAAGGTATGAAGGCTTTCTGGAAATTTTAATTGAACATACCAGGAAAAGAAAATACCTTTCTGGCATGAAATTTATCCCCCCCCACCCCCGCCACCCCCTAAGAAAAATTTTAAAAAGGCCAAACAAAAGAAATTAGGTAGTACGGGAACTGGAAGTATAAAAGGAGATACAGGCTTGACAAAACAGAATGAGAGGAAAGGATAGGATAATGAAGACTATAGTTACTGTTGTATCAAGTTCTAACATGAAAACATTCGAATAAACAATTACTGTTTTCTCTTTTGTTCTACTTGTATCGACGATCCGACGTTTAAAAAACAGGCTATCCCTTTCATGGAAAAATATTTAAAAAGACTTTAAAACTCATTGATATATTACTGTTTTCGAAAGCTAATGATTTTCTGAGGCATAATTCATAATTGAACACAGATCCTGTTGTCACCCTTGACATTCCTACATCCAGCCGATAACTGACATTTGAAATCAGTTTCTCTTTTATAAAACTCATTTCTACATTTACAACCAGCAATGCCGTATTGTTCAAGTTGTCCAAAACCGCGCATAGTTTAATCATTATTCTTAATCAATGTTGGTTTTTGCTTTTGTTTTTCTTTTGGAGAAGGGAATAAATGTCTTCTCCCAACGATTCAAAATTAAGTAATCACAAAGTAAAATTTTCCCTGCTATAAAAAAATTTGAAATTTTAAGACAGCATCCACTTCCATCGCTCGCCGATGTTACGCACATTTAAATAATATACTGAAGTTTTCTTCGGGTAATAACGTCAACATTTGTCGTAAAAAGGTATCACAAAAATTACCAACTCCAAGATTAATCAAGAAAGGTGGACGTCCATAAAAACTAACAAAATAAAACGTCATCGATCAACAGAATGAGTGAAAAACAACTGTCATATTCCTGACTTGGTACAGTTTGTACAAGCATTTTTCGAATAAAATGGTGGGTTAAACGTGTGTGCCCATACAAGAACATTAGGGTACTATAAAATACTCAAGCAAGCATTATGTTTGTTCTATGACTAACCAGTGCATTTTAAAACTCGAATCTCTAAAATCCATTCGACATTATCAAATGTTGGTATGATTTGTTACATAATGCGCAATAAATTTACTGAAAGCGTGTGTAAACTCTTGATAAAAATGTCACTTATGGTCATATCTATCTCTCACCATTTTCGATAGGATACCTTTTGGTAATCATAGTAAACATCAGATACATATCCAAATGCATACCCTTATTATGTTAATTATCTATATGTGCACACAAATCTTAGTGTGTAATTTTGTTTATTCTCGGTGTGTTTTCATGTTTTAATTTCAGTGTGAAATTTTAAATCTCATTGTGTATTTTTGTATTTCCCTTGTGTAATTTTCAATTTATTTTTACTTTAAAAATTTGTTTTTACTATGTTAAATCTCAGTGTGTTTTTTTTTAATCTCTATATTAAATTTGAAATTCTCTGTGTTTTTAAAGGTCTCTGTACGTATAAACATGAGAACGGCTTGCCATAATTATGTGATTGATGGTTTGACACTGATAATTGATTTAGCTGTTGGAAATTTGAAACATATTCTTGATAAAATATATTTATAACAACAATATACTAGTAATGTGTTAAAATACGTGAAAACAGTAGTAGTTCTTTCTCCATTGCCGACCATTTTTACATTTTCTGAATTTGCTACTGTTATATTAAAAACCAACATAAAACAGTTATGTGTGAAATACGTACTTTATTATTCTGTTTTATATATAAATTAAAGTCAAATAGTGGCATTACCATCTTCCTATTGAGCTTGTTTATATTATCCATAGCGATCGTCAGTTTACATCAAATTTATGACAATTAAGAAAGCTTTTCGAATAATTTTCAAATAAAATGTTTCCATGTATGTCAAAATTTATATTGTGAAGATACACAATGCAGTTATTCATAAATGAATTTTAAAAAGTAAATATTATACTAAACTATCCAGCGCTTCAAGAAGGTTGGATTCCTTCAACCGAGGATGGTACACAAAATGAAATACTACTCCTTTTTTCCATTACCACTAGCAGGAAAATTACTTAATAAAACACTTGTCTAGTCTACTCTGTTTTTAACAAAGAACAATACATTAACGATTGAGTCGTATTTCATTAATACATTAAATACGTACCACAAAAAGGACTTTTACTGTTAGTTTTTAAGTAGAACGTTCCACGTTGTTGTGTTTTATCAGCGTCGTATCCCATTACGGGACACGGTCCATCTCCGCACGAAGAGCAATGCCCTGCAGCATAATCTTTATCTGACGTGCATTGGACTGAAGTAAATTTACATGTGTCCAAGATCGATTCAGTGAAATAGTAGTAAGCTCGCTGATGACTACATGCTAACTCATTAAAAGCCACTGAAAAGAAAATTTCCAACAATAAGTAAAATTTCGCATAGTTTTGACACAATGAATACATAGACAAATATTTTCGAAGAAAGCATACCAGAAAAGTGTAGTGTAAGAAGTTCCTCTGCTGTAGCCTTGTATGGTGGGGGACATCCAGGTTGGTGGTGACCACTGTTTGGGAAAAAGTCGATGTGACCACAAGGCTTGCTTGTACCAAAGCCTGTGAAAGAAACACGAAAATAACGTTAAGTATTCTCAAACACCAGTAAAGCAAAAAATAAACTAATAAAATTCATTTAAACTCAGTTTAGGATATCAGAATATGTATTGAATAGAAGATTTAAAATAAGTGTAATGTCTTAATATATGTTCTATGGCTAACATTAGTTTTTATGGTGACAAAAAAATAAAACTTAACGAAATGGATAGACTAACTCCTATTGAGAACTAAACTTTAGGACGAATTCAATTTTCTGGATATATAGGTATAAATAGAAATTTTTATACATAGGACTGTCAAATTGAAAGAATAATGTTTGTGGACTTTTCATCTCTAATTAGTTTAACCTAAATTGTGAAATGATTTTTTTCTAACTTTTCCCATATCATGTTATTTTAAATGCAGACTCGTTTCAGTTTTCAAACAAATCAATGAATATTGTTAACTTTCACGTGTTTTTGGTGTTTTAATTTGAGTAAAATCCTCTATATAAGAGTAGTATCATAATTGTAAAAATGCTTTTTCTCTTTATAAAATGTTCTATTTAAATGTAACATATGTGTAAAATATGCTATTGCTCTTCTTCTATATAAGGGTAAATTTGTGTGTAAAATATACAATTTCGTTTTGTACAAACTTCCATCTAAGGTTACTCCATGTGTAAAAATGCACTTCCTCTTTCTTACATCTTCTATCTAGTGGTAATATGTGTAAAATATGCTCGATCTATCGGTAAAATCTTCTGTTTAAGGAAAATATATGTAAAATCTTCTCTATTTTATGCTTTTTATTAATAATTAATTTAATTGAACTACCAGTTTGTGTTAATGGTACAGCATCAGAATGTATGACGTCCACGAATTTGGCATCAGAAGGATCCAATTTGACATCTTCACTGTAATTCTCAAATAATGGTCCAGCAGGGTCCATTCCTGATGTGATGAAAATGAAGAATTTGATATTAAAATGATGCATGATCTCAATAACCCAGATTACATAAAACAGCTAACATGCTGTGTAGACATAGTCATTTCTTCATTGGAAAGATTATAGAACAAAATGAAAAATTGTAGATTCACTAATGATGAAGCTGCTATTAGAGTAGTATTGTAAAACTTTTTAATGTATATTATATGTAATTTATCAATTATTTTCGTAAAAGTTTACCTCAAATACGAATTTCATTACCAGCTAATTTAAGAAATCTGTTAAGAAAGTGTCTTTATCTATTTGTCTATTTGTACGGTAATTACTTTGTATAATTACTATGGTAATTACTTTTTGCAGGAAATAACACGAATAAAAAAAGACAACGTATCTTATATGTGCCAGCTTTTCAGCGTTTCGTGTGAAATTACACATTAATCCCTTATATGTAATACAAAGCAACTATTCTTGAAAACCCTTGCATTGGAAACACAAACCTGATATACGCCCTAGACCTGGTACCCTTTGACCTATATATCCTGCAGTCTGTGCGCCCAGGCTGTGACCAATAATATGTATTGAGTTTGTATCGCACCCAAAGTCATCCTTCAGGACATTAAGCATACGAGCTATTACTGCACCAACTAATCTTGTATTTGCTGTTGCTTGGTTATAAATTTTATGAGCTCCTATTCGCCAATCTACAGTCATTACATTAAAGTCGCCCTAAAGAAAAAGGAGAAGAGATACTGTATAATATTCACTTTTCATACGATGTACAATGTGTGCTGAGAACTATTCTATATTTTTCTGCATAGACAGTTTCAAAATTTATACCGAAAGCAAATATTCATAGTAAAATAGAAACTAAGTACTCTTTCGGAGCAGTTCAGTTGAACCACGTTTTTGTTGGGTACTTTGTTCATTTTTGTCTCGTCATTTTCATTTGCCTCTCCTAAGTCAGTAACCACGTCAGTGGTTGTCGTATGTCATATCTTAACATTTCCATTATTTTAAGAATTGGGTTTTAATGTTAGAACTTTATGTGAATTAGAAGATGTGGTATGATTACCAATGAGACAACTATCCACAAAAGACCATATGACGTAGATGTAAGCAACTATATGTCAACGTACGGCCTTCAACAATAAGAAAACTCTTTACCGTATAGTAATCTATAAAAGGCCCCAAAACTACAAAATATAAAACAATTCAAAAACATCTTTTGTAGAACTGGGACGATTAAGAGCTTTGGATATTGTATAGACTGCGGTCTGTTGTTTTTCCATTCGTTTGATGTGTTTGAGCTTTTGCCATATGATAAGGGACTTTCCGATTTGATTTTTTCCTTGGAGTTCGGTATTTTTGTTATTTTACTTTTTGGTGATGACTGTATGTAGCCCTATTTGTCATTTTGGTTATTTTTGTCGTATATCCTATATATCCGTTTATTTCTGAAGAGGCTCACAGCTTAAATGTAAAATTGTTGACTTCTTTTGGACCTGGCGATTATATGCTACACTAAACATTTAATTCATACCTTCTGTAGCAAAGCATCTTTCATATTTATAACCCAATCCGCATCTCCCTGACTCATATACCCATGTATGAGTACTTTGAGAGGTTTTGTTGAATCATATCCAGATTGCTGTACAGACTGTGGATCGTTGTACACAACAGCTTGACCAACTGCCTTATGATTCCTTGTAAACAATAACAGCTTGATTTGAAGTTCATCCGGGGATTCTGGTAGAGTTCCAAATGAATTGGTAAATGGTGCATCTTTGGTAAAGCAGTCAAGATCCTTGTAGCATACCTTGGAACTTCCGAGGAAGAATGCTAAAATTTTAAAGGAACAAACGGTTAGTTCAGTTTCTAATAAAAAAATATGTGTAAAAATATATTTGAAGATGTGCACACAATTTTACTTCTGGGAAAAGTGGGTCTGTATGGAATCGTTTCATGTATGACTAACTCTATGGATTTTTATGGTTTGATTTAACACCGTGTTGTGCCTGTACCAACTGAGGCTAACTGGACCATGTGTAAAATAGGTGTTTGGTGTTGTTTTTGTCATTTCGTACGTCTATTTTTCGAAGGAGTGGTTAGTGAGGTCTGTTATATTATTCAATATTTTTAATAATGACCCCTTTAACATATTTTTTCTTAAAAACATTATGAAAGAATCTGTAGCCAGATGTATGAAGCATTAGTCCCTATTTCTTTAGTATTCAAACTATGGCCTGGGGGTGGGTGGGGTGGGGAGGGGAGCTACACAATCTTATAGTTTTATCTCGCCTATCTTTTGCCTATTATAAAAATAACTTGTTGACATTGACAATATATCTACGTGCCTTAAACCTGATACACAGACAGAAAACCGATCCTTATACATAATACAATGACCTACGTGTATTGCCATTTACATATATTAAGTCATGCAATACGTACTATTGGATGCATTTCCTGTTAGTCTCAAATGATAAACATATATATTGGTTCAATTCGGAAATAATTTGCGACGACTCAATTGAAATAACAATGGTTACATCAAATGAAATATTATACTTAAGTAAGTACTAACAATGGACCTATTTATCAACTGAACATAAGCAGGTCCACATATCTTATATTACAGGGACAGCGTGCCAGTCAGAAAACTAAAAGTATTATAATGTGACAGAGAACGTTTTGAATACAAACAAGAGTGCACACGCTGAAATGTCTCGCCTAAAGTTTACTTATCATGATTAGATTTATGTTGAAAGTCATCTAATATGAAAGTTTGACTATAAGTATCACATAATATTAACATTACCAATGATCCATGTGAATGAGGTATAGGTCATATGAACCCTGCCAGACATACATGTACAACTAATAATAATATCATACACCAAAAATAGTTAGCCTATTGGTTATATTATCTGAGAAACAGACCAAAGTAGGAAAATTGAACATTGACCAATGAACCATAAAAAGAGGATCGAGGTCAGATAAACCCTGCCAGACAACATTTACACCATACAATTATTCCATACACCAAATATAGTTGATCTATTGCTAATAGCATATAAGAAACAGATATAATATTGAAAACTTGATATTGAATAATGAACTATAAAAATGAGGTCAATTAAGGCCAGATGATCCCTGCCAGACAAACATGTACATCTTACAATTATTTATTACACACACAAAAATTGACCTATTGCTAATAGTATCCGATAACCGGAGAAAACCATGACAATTTAACATTGACCAATGGACCATGGAAATGAGGTCAGGGCCAGATGAAACCTGCAAGATAGACATGTACGCCTTCCAATCATTCCATACACCAAATACAGCTGATATTTTGCTAAAAGTATGTGAGAAACAAATCAAACCATGAAAAAGGTCAAGGTCGGAAGAAACCTGCCAGACGGACATATGCACCTTTTGATCATAACATACATCAAATACAGCTGATCCATTGCTTATGGTATCTGAGAAACAATTTAAACTACAAAAACATAACAATAACCAATGAACCATAAAAATGAGATCAAGGTCAGTTAACCCTACCAGCCGTACATGCACACCTTAGAATCATTCCATACACCAAATATAGTTAACCTACTGCTTATAGTATATGAGATACGGATAGTAATCCCTGTCTCGGATTTTGCGACTTACGTCGTAGACGAGACAACAATCAACGTTTTGTTTTAGGAAATGGTTTAAACTTCATAAAATATTTCATGATATTGAAAATACTTTTAACTAAACCCGCTGCATTTGTTTGCACCTGTCCAAAGTCAGGAACCTGTTGTTCAGTGGTTGTCATTTGTTGATGTGGTTCATAAGTGTTTCTCGTTTCTCGTTTTTTATATAGATTAGACCGTGTGTTTTCCTGCTTTGTTTGAATTGTTTTACACTAGTAATTTTGGGGGCCCTTTATAGCTTGCTGTTCGGAGTGAGCCAAGGCTCCGTGTTGATGGCCGTACTTTGACCTATAATTGTATTACGTTTTACACATTGTTATTGGATGGAGAGTTGTCTCATTGGTACTCATACCAAATCTTCTTATTTCTATATGATAGTGTTGCAAAAAGAGCAATTGCATTCGCTATTTGAAAAAGAATAGGGAGATGTCGTATGAATGCTTATGAGACAACTATCCGTAGAGACCATACGACGAAGATGTAAACAACAGAAGGACACATTGCAGCCTTCGACCACGAGCAAAACCCATAACCTAAAGTAAGCTATAAAATTTGTGGCACCAGCATGATGTACTAGAAATATTTAATTCACTTTAAACTAAGTTAGACATGCGCAATTGTGTTAAATAAGTGGTATAAACATAGAAAATTGAACATTTCAAGCAAAAAAAAAAAATACAATATCCATATCATTTCTCAAGCGCCTGAGCTATTGATAAAAATCGACATGTTATGCCATTAATTTTTATAATTAAAAAGCTTAACCTTCTAAGCGGTAACACTTGACCATTGCATCAATCTAAATTAATTGAATGTTAATTGCTTAACATCCAGTGGCAAATATTTCATGCAAATTCAGGACAAAAACAAATTAAACATTAAAACAATTTAGCAGGTTCTGTAATGAGTCGACCTGAATGAAGGGCAAGTAAGAAAGAAGACATTTAGGGTAGAGGAGACATTTTTTTCGTGCAAGTTGTCACTTACAGGTCCCTCGAAGATTTTAATTGCAAAAGTACATGTAAGAGGTATATTCCAATTTGAGGCATCGAAGTAAATATTTAACATCCCACGCGAGAGTGATGCATATTCGTACACCCCGCAACGCAAAACGGTTAAATACTAACAAGATGTATTGAAGTCAAGGCGACCTTTTTCTCAGTCACACATATATCATGTGAATTTACTTTAGATTTTAAATTAAATAAATAAAAGGAATTGCAAAAGTTTTAAGCCTAAATTGACGACTCACGAAAAATTGAACAAATCTATGTAAACGTTTTAAAAGTTTAAACATTATTAACTCTGTCATTATATGGTATATAAAAATAAAGAGATGTGGTATGATTGCCAATGAGACAACTATCCACCAAAGTTCAAATGAAGTGAGTGTAAGCAATTAAGGCAAACGTACGGCTTTCAACAATGAGAAAAACTTATACCGTATAGTCGGCTATAAAAGGCCCCGACATGAAAAATACGAAACAATTCTATTCAGAAAACTAACGGCCTAATTTATAACAAAACAATTTACGAAAAACAAATATGACAGACATGTACCAACGACAACCAATGAACTACAGGCTCCTGACTTGGGACAGGCACATAAGGAATGTGGCGGGATTAAACATGTTTGTGAGCGCTCAACCCTCCCCTAACCTGGGACAGTGGTGTTACATCAAAATATAAACATCAGAACTCACCAGATCGATACAAAGCAGAAAAAAAACATCTAACAAAAATACAGACCGGATGTGGCAGGGTATTTATACATCCCTATGGTGGTTTTCATGTCCAGTAATACAGGTTATTTTGTAATAAATGCCTCTCCCGGTTTGATTTTTATATGATAATTGTCATTTCAAAGCAAATAGGCCCCAACGATGATAAGTGTTCAAACTACAAATGTATTTCATTGCAGTATGACGTGATAAGAGAGACAATTCAAAATACAACATTCATAAATGTGAAAAATTAAACCATTTCCACGAAGTACAAAAATTGCTTGATTTGATTGTATTACTCAAGGGTAAAATCTACTCCGTGGGTATAATGTCTCGAAAAGTTTATAAATCACACGAACCACATATTTTTTATGAATATGACATATGTAACTATTATTTGCAACAAACCTTCTAAAGCTACGGTTAAAATTATCACTGTTAAACCAGGTGCCAGTAATAGGGACGCCATGATCACAAATTATGACTTACAAGATAAGATCAACAGATAACTATCATATGATTTGGTTCACCCAGTCAAGTACATTTCATGATCAGAGCATGATTTTCTTGCGTATGAACGGAATTCGTGGTCATAAGCTTTTTAAAATATGTGTTTAAATTTTTGGTTATTTTAATAAATACGCAGATCAGAATTATATTTTTCATATTTGTGTTAAGAATATTAGACTCATAAGCATACACTATAGTTAAATTTCACACATTATATAAAAAAATATTTTACAGATACTCGTAACGTCTTTGAGTTTAAACATAGAATCTATGTGTAATGTGTAAAATTGAACTATAGTGTACTTTTAATTCGAAATTGTGTCAGACTTATTTATCTTAAAATAAAAACGCCACTGGGAAAAGAGGGAATGGTTACATACAGGGGGAAATGTTTATATATTGCTTGGCATATGCCTAGAATATGAATCTGAAATGCACGCACCTTCCACAGATGGTTTAGTTTCTATGTATATGACTACTGAGAATAGAAAAAAAACTTATTATATGGAAATTGAATTCATCACTTTGGTCGTAAACAATTTTAGTGAACCCTCATCTATCGTCAATCGATTGGTAAAGTCCAGATTCATAGCAAAATATGTTGAGTTGATATGTACTTATTTATAATTGGGGGCGATATTTAGTTGGTACCATATTATCGCACCATTATTTTAATTGGATATATTGTTGCTTGATTTAAGTCCAGTAGCAAATATTTCATGCATATTCAGAACTAAATATTTAAAAATATATATGTATTAGATACACATTGAGGGCGTTAGCCCGAATTGGTGTATTTAATTAACACCAAGATATTATAATATCGTCATTGAAGAATGATAGTTTTCAAAAATTTATAAAAAGGGGGAGGGGGTGTCTTTCAACAATTTGATTGTTTGTTATTGAAAAGCATGATAAACGCAGGGTATCGAATTTCATTTAACGGTGCAAATATATTTATATGTATATATTAATCGTAAATAGTTTTTAACAGTTTTAACTAGCTAGAAAAGTCTGATGGATGTAAGCTTGAGGCGACAGAATGTTGAACGAAATAGATCTAGGTATGAGGAAAATGTAGTACTAATAATTCTGTGATTTTCTCTCTCTTTTAATAAATAACGATATAACAGAACAAAGCAGACAATTGAGATAAGTTTGAATAAATTCAATTATAAAACGCCATTTTTTTAAACAATTGTTGTATAAACTGCATAAGATAATCATATACAGACGTATAGTATGTTAAAATGTCTACAGTTGTTATTTCATCGAATCCGGAAGAAGCCATTAAACAAATTCTACTTAACAAACAAAAATCCTCTCACCATTTCACATTCTCCTCAACAACAGGACGGAGCAAATATGTTTTCCAAGTTGATTCTCTTTGGATTACTAGGACTGGTCTCAGCGAGTAAGTACATTTCAATGAAAAATAAATTGTAGAAATGTAAATGAATAAATAATAATAAAATTATTAATAACAATTTACTTAAATAGATGATAATTAAGCAAATTAATGTATACTGTAATTATGGAAGAAATATCTGTATATTTTATCATATCATCGAGAGCCAAGAGCTTTGTACATAGTTTTCCATTTGCATGCCTTTCGACAACTATCTAAATGCATCTGGTTGTTTATTTACACGTGCATTTGTGTTTAGTCTTCAAAAGTAGTAATGTGCTAAATGAACAACAGCGGTTGCGTATCAAATTAACATATCTGATACTTTATACCTGCTGGATAAATCATCTACAAACATATTTCTTTCTTCTTCAACTCTGTTTTTAGATTAACTTGTACTATACGATCTTGATAATCTGTTTATAAGATGTTTCACTCAACACTATCAGTAAAAGAAAGAATATTATCAAAAATTTTAATTCTTCCATATATGTAAAAATTGAGACTGTACGTGGTCCAAAGTAATTCCTTTTTCAATATTATCTCTATTATTCTATTTAAATTTACAAAAAAAAAATATACTTTAAACTCATTTCCCAACCGATTTTCATTAAGTGTTCATCATATCTGTAGTTTTCTAAAGGAACTTTCATACTTTTGTTAAAATCTTAGTTTTCCAGAATTTATAAGTTAAACATGAATTTATTTTTCTACGCGACAAGTTACTGTAAAATGCATATACATTGAAATAATATTGTGAAATCCAAACCTTATGTTTGCAATTAAATCATGAACACTAAAAAAATAAAATTTCAAAAATTATTTGATAATAGCTACAATCAACTGCAAATATTTCTTGAGATTATTAGAGAAAATGTCATGTAAATCGAAACAACGAGCCCAAAACATTTTTTTGAAATTTCTTGATTTATATTAAATACATAAGGGGAAAAAGAATTTTTCAACAGAAGTGATACTCGAGCCTTCATGATATTAATCTGAAATTTTACCGATAATGTCTTATTCTTGATTCGGACATTTTGACTACGTGTGGATTAGCATTGCATGTGATTTATGCATAGCACCCGGTATCGCATTCTTTGATGCCCTCAGTTTTTATTCGCCACATCAATTTGATCGATTTATGAGATTTGAACATCGGCAAACTAGTGTTGCCTATATTTGTAAAACAATGCTACTACATAAATCACAACATAAAAGTATTATACCTACAAATTTAACTAAAAAATATGCCAGCAGGTCACTATAAATATTTCCCCTTCGTGTAGGGTGGACGTTCGGAATGGGTATGGGAACTTGCTCACTAAATGTGCTTCATTTTTTCTTTCCAAGGAACATTAAAACCGAGACTATTCAATCTTTCCCAATTTGTATTACTGATTATTAACTTACCCAAAGAGGTTTTCAGTAAAATGTTTGCAAAGGTTCGGTGTTTTGTTCATCAAAGTACTTTAAATTAGTCAACCTATTGGTTTTTCCTTTTTTCTATAATATTGAGTCAATGTATTTACCAATATTTAATGTGAAGAAGGTTCATTAAGGGACTTATTTCTTACATCAATGGTATCTTTCCAAACTCCTTTACCGCGACACCACAAATAAGATATATCGATACACGATATTCAAATGACTGTCCTTCACAAAGCTTGCCTTTTTGCTTGAAAAGGAACAGCTAAATCGTCATACAAAAGTCTGCAAATAAACATATTTGCCGTAATTAATACTGAAATGTGTATATCTTGAATGCTAAAAATCTAAGAAATTTAAACTCAGAACGGTTTAGGTATTCTATCTGTATCTGTATGGGTACGTCGTAGTTACCAATACTGGCTTTTAATAAAGACCAGCAATCTATATATACGAGGGTTGACTAAAGAGTTCGTGGAGCAGATGTGTATGATTTACAATTTTATTAAAGTTGGTTTTAATTTTCAAATTTTCGTGAAGTGATCAAGACATGGTGATGTAATCCATAGTTTGATATCAACGGCATGCTAATGGATCGATTGATTAATTGTAATTAATCCAGTGGCAAGTAGTTGAATATATTTACATTTGTACTTTTTTTAATGAAGCAAACGCAGATCAAAAGATTGTTTTACAGAACAATATTTGTAAATTGAGTCTGAAATTTTACATTTCAGGTGGGTGGTTCAACGAATACTTTTGGTGGTTAGGTAAGCGACAGGTTTGCTATGACGACTATGGGTGTTTTTCCATCGATCATCCGTTCTCTAACACTGAAGGACATTTACCCGAGTCCCCGGAATATTTAGATGTTCAGATACTGCTCTACACCAGACAAAACAGACGCCAAGCCATCGATGTTACCAATAATGTCGGGGAAACTTTTGATCAAAATAAAGATATTAAGATTATCATACATGGGTATTTCAATACAATCGAAGAAAGATGGGTAGCTGAAATGAAAGATGCATTCCTTGAAAAGGTAAAATAATGATAAGTTAGATTAATGTTACTTTTTTGTTGCCAAAAGAGAGACTGAGGTCCGGGCTCGGGTCCGGGTGGCCGTATTTCTATACTTCTATAACCATGAGGAAAATGAATAAACTTCAATAATTTAATTTTGGATGTAACACGTCTTCTGGTTGGCTGAAAGTTTTTTGTCTATCAGTTCATTGACATAATTTTGTCATGTGACCGTGACGTCATCAACGTTTTTTCATGGTTTACTCCTTATTAAACTAAATATAGACACCTGTATATTGTGAAAGACTGTATGCTGCCCTCTATGTGTTTTTGTTGTTGTTTTTGTCGTCGTTGTATTGCTATCCAGTGGCGTTTCCAGGATATTTAAAAGAGGGGGCGGCGAATGAAAAAAATTTTGGACCTAATATTTGCCAAAAAACATAAAATAAATATGAAATGCACTAATGTAACGGTTCCTGACTTGGAGCATATATAAATTTATAGTTAAAGTGTCAGGGTTTGACATTTTTATGCCGAATTCTCTCCATTGTCTATGGTATATTAAAATGATTGGATGGATCTTAACAGCAGAAGACCAATAACGAGATTTTCCAAATCCTACGGTATATGGCGTTACTAAACATTTCAATAGTCCTAGACCAGGATTTTATGAACAGGAGGCGTAATTGCGGTTGCCCTGGTAGAGGGTCCATGGGAAAGCTTAGAAGCTCCTGGGTTTCAACAATTTAGCATCAAATTATGAAGAAGCCAGACTAATAAATATCTCTCTATTTTAGATTAGGTTCTTGTTTCTTTGAACGACACATGAAACAAGACAAGCAAACACTGAAGTATAAAGTTCGTTCGTTCTAAATATTGTAGGCTTTAATGTGGAATACATGATTGAATATGGAAAACTGACCGTATTGTACAACAGTACTAAATTAAAGCAATCATGTCACTGTCTAGTTCCGATGTACAGGTGATACCATACATGAATAAATATGGTGCATGAACTTGATGGCAAAATGAAGGTTTGATGATATCACTTAGTTACTCACTAATGAATATTGAAACAATATGATATTACCAAAGGCTATCCAGATTGGGAAGTAAAAATGCTATACCATATATACATGTTATTAGTATAAATGTACATTAACGCAAAACCTAAAATGAACCCCAAGACACTGCCGGATTCTCATTTTTAATGAATGGTTAGACTAGAATGGATTCATTAGAACCAGTTTACGCTGATTTCTCATGGCGTAATCGTCAATTATTTTAATATCATAATCGAGTTTAATTGTGATTCCGAATTAATATAAAAAGAAATCAGATTATGTGTTTATTTAATGAATATGATAAATTGCCATATTCAATAGCAGATGCAGATATTTTTTTTATTTTTTTTTTTGAAAAGGGGGCGTACGCCCATTACGCCCTTACCTGCACCCGCCCCTGCTATCTTACTTATGTATACCCTACATTTACTTTTATTCATATCTAAAAAATCATTTGCACAAAAACAGATTTGTTTCCCTTTTCCCCAATGTCATTTCAAAATCAACGACCAATATTCGGAGGTTTTTTTTACCAACATATTGGAAATTGTAAGTATCCACTTATGTATTCGAACATATTGCAAATAACAACAATTATAATATTTATTCCTTCTGGAAAGTAATGGAAATGTCGTATTTTTTGCGTAAAAAGCCGATATAAATAGGATTTAAAACAGCTTTTGGCATTCTCTTATGAACAGGTTGCAGTACTCTTAAAATTGATTACCTCTGTTGTAAAAACATTTCGGAACTATAGGTCCTCAATGCTCTTCAACTTCGTTTTATATAAATAAGGAGATGTGGTATGATTGCCATTAGACAACTGTCCACCAAAGTTCAAAGGAAGTGGATGTAAACAATTATGTTCAACCATTCACTGTTTAATAGTAAGAAGAGACCAATTTTGAAGCAATCGTTTTAATAGGAAAATTAAGGAATCATCACTTTTGTCATATTAATATAAACGGTACCAATTTTACTGCACCTGATGCGCATTTCGACAATTAATGTCTCTTCAGTAATGCTCGAGGCCAAAATATTTGAAAATTCAAAACCTAATTAGAATAATTTACAAACGTTGAAGAGCTGATCAACCAAAAGGACCTATAGTATTGCTAAAATCTGACAAGGAATCAGAGCTTTGCATGAGGGAGATATATTCCTTAATTTAAAATGATTTGTTAAATTTCATGACGGTGAATTTTAATCAAAAATAATATTCGTATTTTCATAACTTTTATAATGAAGTTTATCTTATGAAACAGTGATGACAAAATCAAGAAGTCAATTTTTGTTGTTGTTGTTAAATTGATTTAAAATCTAAATTACTGCAATATAGTTGAAGAATTTTTATATATACCACCAAGGTTAAGGTAATAGCTATTAATTTAAATAGTTTAGACGGACCTTTTTTGAGTTTGGTCATACAAGTTTAGGTTGAAAGACAATCTAGTCATACATCTTTTGTCAGAAAAGGAAATGTAGCAAAACAGATCCATGGTTTTATTTAGTTCTGTATGTGATAGGATCACTGGCTATTCGTTTGTATATCACCCTCATATCTGATATTTAGTTTTCTGGGAAAATGTCTTCATGTGAACTAAGCTTAAACGAAAAGCAGTGTTCTGGGTATTTGGACTTTGTAACTTCCTCTATCATTGTCGATTATATCTCCAATCAAGTACTAGAATGTCATTAAGTGTTTCCGAGAAGTCAAGGTTGAAACATTGTAAATAAAAAAAAATGGTTTATTAAAATTTGTATATGTATTTACAAATTTATAACGACTTGTAAGCTTACCAGTTTTTCACTTTAAATTGAGACCTCAATTCAAACAGTAAAAATCCGAACAAATCTGTAATTCTATCAAACAGATATTGGAAATTACCCATGTTCTCATTAAAGGAATATTATTTGCTACATAATGTAGTAATATTAATAAAAAGAATTACTAAAAATAACGAATGTATGTGTTTCTGTAGGTGACAACTTAGGACTTTGAACTGTATCATGAAGTCTGGTAGGTGGGGCCAATTAGGACTTTGATCTTTACTATGTCTGTTATGACGACTACAGTCCTTGAGAATTGTCCCATATAAAATATCAAACATTACTTTTCAAATCATATAATCTATTAAGTACGAACAGACTAATCATACAGTATAAAGTATAACAAGACGTGCACACAATAATAAATTTCCGAAATTCTGATGCACCATATGTGCATTTCGAAAATTATTATCTAGTCAAATCTGTCGAAGCCAATCTTATTGAAATTGAAAAGAACAATTAAAGGATTTGATTTTGATTAAGATTGTTTTCGAAAACCCAAAACAATACCAAAATATAGCAAAAATAAACTTAAATTCAATAAATTTTACATTTTTCTCAACTGAAAACTTAACAAATTTAGATATCAAAAATAAAAGCATGTGGGATAGTGATACTTTCGGGAATATGCATCCAATAGTGGCATTGACATAGTGTGAGTAATGAATTAAATAGAATTACTGAACTGAATTTGATGCACCAGATGTTATGTCAGTCTTGTTTACAACCTCTTTTTTAGCATTATAGGTTAGTATAGTGACTATGTGCGTCAGACGTGCGTTTCGTCTACAAAAGACTCACCAGTGACGCTCGAATAAAGCAAGTTAAAAAGGCCAAATAACGTACGAAGTTGAACAGCATTGAGGAACTAAAGTTCCGAAAGATTTTGCAAAATACAGCTAAGGTAATAGATTCAAGGGATATTGCTGATCGATGAATTTAGATAGAAAGGAAAGTTGCAGTAAAAGTGGTCACCCTCCTGTCTCATGTAAAAACCTCTTTTAATAAAGTAAACAATTAAGTTTACCAGAACATCTTACCGCTGTTGTCTGTACTTATGAAAGAATCATATGCGAATTACTTTAGACATCTATTTCTATATTTCAGGACGACTTCAATGTTTTTATACTAAACTGGGAACGTGCAGCAGGTCGTTTAGTTTATCTTCAATCTGTAGCAAACTCAAGATTAGTTGCTGCAATAACTGCTAAATTTATCAAAGACTTACAGAGAACTCACAATATTAATGCATCTGCTATACACATAGTTGGGTTTAGTCTAGGAGCTCACCTAGCTGGTTATATAGGGAATGCTGTTGACGGACTTGGCAGAATCACAGGTATTCTATATTTCCAAGATGAGGCTGTCAAAACCTTTTTAATAGAAATTTTCTTGCAATTCCTCCAAATTTCAAATTGTTATCGCTCTTATAACATTCTATAGTGACCTTAGCTTTTTACTGGACTCATAGTTAGAAGGATAGTCATATCCTAATGGTAACCCAGGTTATTATATATTTAATGAAGCTTGGTAGTACCAAAACCCTTTTTCCTAAATGATATCCGTTGACAATGATCTTATATATTGAACAGCTTCTGGAGCTCTATTTGATGTGATACCTCTTTGCATTTATTAACATTCAAATTTAATTCTTTGTACACTCAGAATACAATCTGTTTATTTGTTTTAGGATTAGATCCCGCCGGTCTACAGTTTGAAGGACTAAATATAGCAGTTAGACTTGATCCCTCAGATGCTTCATTTGTCGATGTTATTCATACTGACGCTGACCAATTGTTCAATGCTGGTATGTTTTTAAATTCTATTCAGCATGGATGTGTTACTTTTTTTCATATCAACATAAAGGACATGCATGGGTTTGTCGCAAAAGAAATGAAAAATATTACGATTTAGTCTTAAAATTAAAACAGAACTGTCAAATCAAGGATTTTTAATTCGGTGAAAATAAAGTGAAATACATACTGTCGTTCTGACACATCTTGAAGTATACAGCGATTCTTGATGGTATCAGGATAATGATAAAGGCCGGTTGCACGGTGTGACATTGCACGCAGATAATACGTAGCTCAATTGTGCTATGTTTAATTCGGAGTTTGGTCGGTTGAGTGTGTTTAACGTCATACACAGCAACTGAGTCCTCTAGATCGGAATGGAAATTCAGAGTTATTTTGTCAATTTCCCTAAAATCTCAACCATAAATCCACACAATGTTTTTATGGAATTTACATTTATTGACCTTTTCAATCGTTTTAAGTTACGTGACACTTTCTTGAATATTTAACCTTTTGTAACAGGATAACTGGGTTAAGGTTAAGTTGCAGCGCGCAAACCATGTGTTTCTGGATTAACCTTCATCAGGTTTGCTCGAGACAGAGAGTTTGAGAATTAGTCATATATATAAAAAGTTGGGTATAAAAACCAAATCACCAAAAGTCATCAATGTTTAATCTTGCCTTAGAGAATTGCAAACTTAATTTTAGTACAATTGTATTTGTTATTCTATACATTAAATACAAACCATATATATATAAACATTGTGTATTTATTAGAGATGTCACCAGGATTTGGTACTATACAGGCTATGGGACACGTAGACTTTTATGTGAACGGAGGATCCGACCAACCTGGATGTGCAAACCACATGAACCAACATCTTTTGCAAATACTGAAAGGAAATTTTAGTAAGATCATATATTTACATTTTTTTTAAATTAAGGCATGTATCTTCCGCATGCATAGCTCTGATTCGATGTCCAGGTTTGGCTTTAGTTTTGAATGTTTTTGCAGCTGTTTAAAGTTTGTATTAGGTTTTGGATTTTCAATTATTTCGGCGTCGAACATCAATTATTGTTCACAATATGCATAAAAGACGACACTTAACTATATAAACGATTACAATGCGCGAGCATTACTACATGCACTTTTTATATTGTGTTTATTCAAAATCATTGTATAAGTTAATGCACAACTTTTTATTATTATTTCCGAAATAGCAGTGGTAAAGTGTACTGGTAACTAAACAACGTATTAAAGATAATATAACATCTTCTCAAGTTTTAAAAAAGGAGATCGAGCGAAAAAGGACGAATATGCTTTTAATGTCAAAATTAATTGTAGGTGAAAATATTCAGTCAGTTAAAACATGGCATATGAAATCTACTTATGGGATCATTTAAAAAAAAGACACCGTGACACTTCATTGGATGCGTTTTTGATAATTCATGAAAATATTTCATGTTCCTCTTAGATTTGCTGTTAGATGACGATAAATTAAGGCGACAGTGGTTTTACCGATGTTAAAATCTAGAAAATCTATTAAGAAGAGACAAATCGAGGTAACAAACAAAAACCGCGGGAATCGCAAATGAAAAAGAACGAGACCGGGTGCGTTAATAGATAACTCGTTCCCTTGCTAGGCATGCATCAACCGCCATGAGAATATACATTCAGTCAAAACGCCACATCCGGAAATATGACACAATCGATAAAGGTACAGATCATACGACTATACCATGGTATCTAAAGATCGAAAAAAATGAAAACAACACTTTATAAATTGCCTGCGTCCGAAGATCGCAAACACATGACGCTAGTGAGTTAAGACCGACACAGCGTATCGGTCAACCAATTTGTGATAGTGACCGTAGTGCAGATTTCAGCCGTTCTTCCTCATAATTCTGTTGGAGTTTAATAAGTCCTATGCCAAAACGGATAGTTAAAAAAGCAACAATAGCTACGTTCTTACCATAGCGACAATAGCTACATTATTCGAGTGGTATTCTCATAATTTTTGTTAAACCTATTTCAATTATTTCTATAATAAATAATTTCTTCCTACATGTACGCATGTGTGTTCCCTGGTTTGGATATTCTTTGCTTGATCTAGAATCTAATACGATTGCGCTTGTCATATAAATGCAAAATTGGCACCGTAAAACCGATTTATGCTGCCTTCCGTCCCGAAAATGCTTCTTCCAAGCCAAATAATAGGGCAATCCATCTTCAATGTAGATACTCTAGCTTTTTTCTATTCTCAATATTTGTCAGTTTAGTTTTTTTTTAGAAGACGATAATTTTTTTTTATTTTTAAAAGAGGACGTTGTTAATGACATTTTGATGTATTTTTCGAAGAGACCTTTTATAATCCGAATATTCACTTATTCTGAATAAAAAATGTTTATATATCATTATTCTGCCTATTGTAGATTACAAGGAAAACTTTGGCTGCAGTCACATGAGATCTCTGGACATATTTACAGAGTCTATAAATAGTAACTGTACGTTCCGGTCTTTCCCATGTGCATTGGAGATGTTACAGCTCGAATCATGTTCAACGTGTGAAGAATCCGGATGCAATAACATGGGATATAATGCAATGAACACCAAAAACAGAACTTATCTCACGATGACAAGGGCTGCACGTCCATTTTGCATTTCTTGAAAAGTTTAAATGAACGAAATTACTCAATATGGACAGTACAAAACAAGAAATTTAGAAGCTGTATGAACATATTTTTATTTGGTTATAACATTGTCCAATATTGAGAACAATTTGAAAAAAAAAATCAAGTTATAATAGATTAAAAGACATTTTATTAATAACTTCATGTAGTACAATTTACTAGGGGCGGGGTTCTGGTAAGAGGGGATACATAAGCAATAAAGGTTAATATGTACCTGAGCCTTGAGCTCAAACTTGATCACATAAGTAAGATCGAGAACACTAATCAGCCATATACTGAATTGATCTACGTAGATCAATATCATTAACTGCGAAACCATTTTGTTAACCGGCCTGAAATTATTTCTGACCACAAAAGTAATCATTATATCTATATTGATTGGTTTATTAATCTCATGCATATGCAGACGTGAACAAAGTTAACATAACATCAAGTATGTAAGCTCTGTAAAGTAGGTCGACCTGAATAAAGGACGGGAACTGTCACTGAAAAAAGAGGATATGATGGATAGGCAGGCATTTGCCTCGAAACAGGTCACAGAAAGACCAAGGTAGAAGTTGTTCAAATGATTCTTTAATGTGTAAGCTGCTTAAAAACTTATATAAGATACAAAGATACTAGGCTTTTAATTTAGTACACCAGACGAAAGTTTCGTCCACACAAGACTATAATCAGTGGCGCTCGAATGAAAACAGTTGGAAGGCCAAATTAATTACGAAGTTGAAGAGCAATGAAAATCCAACAACCCAGAAGACAATATCCTAACACATTTCTCCGATTTAAAGTCCCGTTTCCGACCGCGTTAACCGTGTATCTATACATTCCGCTTAGTTAAACAGGCGCCCAACCAGCTTGGGAACTAACAGGCCTGGTCACTTTATTTTACCGCAGCCATCTTCGAGGTCAGTTAACATTTTCGATTTTTATGATACAAGAGTCGACTTTCAATATCTAATTTTGACATTGCAGATTCAAGATAATATATAAAAGCTTCAAAGGTTGTCATAACACCAGCACAATTTTTTTTCTATGATTTTTGTATGACACGGAGAGGAATTTTGCATACTAGTAATGAATGAAAATATGCTTTTCACTTTTGCTGTCAATATTTGAGCGTTCAACTTGAGGATAAATCAGAACAAACCGAATTTGTATGTTTAAATTTCAGTTTATTAACAGTGTTTTATCAATCGATATGGTGATAACTGAATGACTTGGTTTTATTCTCTATACAACTGAGTTTGAAATAATTAGTATCATGATCTAAACTTATTATTGTACCACGTTTTGGAAGATTGGAGGCAAAACTATTATTATTCCCAACAATTTCTTTTATGTAATTGATCTTGAAATCAAAATCAAGTATTCCTCCTAGTATTTAAACGACTGAAGAGATATCAATGTCCCTTTTCCTCAATGTCTGTTTTGATTGTACCATGACCAAATAAACAAACCTGTTTGTGACCGCTCAAGCCTAGTACAAGGCACTTTCGCCAAGTCAAGTTAACACAATTAATTAGAAAAAAAGAGACAAGCGACACCAAAGGTACACCAAAATCAAAATTCAAAGAAAAGCCATGACAAAAAACGACGTAAAAAGACATCAGACTTCAAAACACTTCTTAGAAAATTAAGAATTAGCTGCAACACGAGACCAACCAAAAACGAGGGGTGATATCAGGGCCTGTAAGAGTATGTTGCTTCTGTCATGTTGCTGACGGAAAGTACAAATTCAATGGAAAATCTCATTCGTATATGTCGTAATCGAGGACAAAAGATGTGATTGGTATCCGTGGATTAGCCATAATGGTCAACCAGCGTCCGTAAAACTTTCGATTTGAATATCGTATCAATTTGGAGATACATGTATATACTTCATATGCAGTCAGAGTGCAGACGCTGCTGGAATGTTGGTACAAAGAAATAGAAAGTCCACAATAGGAAAACTTATATAATGTCTTTTGTCGTGAAGTGTAGAATTAAACCGATCCGCATTGTCAATTTCTATATATAAGTCAATATATGAGGCAAATATATCTGTGGTATCCTATTATTTTCAAAATCGATGTGAGAGATGTGTTCGACATATAGTCCCCAAGCTTTGAATTATTTAGTTATAGGACATCGTATATTTAATGGAACATGGAGTTAAATGATACTGCTAGCTTCATTTGGTTCTTCTTGAGAAGTTCCCGTATGTAATATGCATCATACGATTAAAGGAAACACGAGTCGACAAGGAAATGAGCACAGTTGGTTCCATTAGATTTGCCGATTGTCTGCTTAAATACACATCCTCCACACATAACAAATAATCAAGTTCAAGCAAATTGATGATGTCTGTTTCAAATATTTTTTTGTTTGAATCAAACATGGTTTTTGTGTTAACACAGTATGACTTATCCCTTCCTAAAAATGTATTTGTATCAACGTTTGCCCTTTTTATACAACAAAGTTTGACTAATTCTTTCTGTATTCAAGAGAGAGGAGAAAGATACCAAATGAATAATAAACTGTTAAGTCGAAAAAGAATTGACAATTTCATGGCAAAAAAACGGGAAAAAAGACCAAATGACAAACCACAGTATACAAAACACAACGTCGAAAACTAAAGATTAAGCAACACGAACCCAACCAAAAGCTGGGGGTGATCTCATGTGCTCCGGAAGTGTAAGCAGATTCCGTTCCACATGCGGTATCCGTCGTGTTGCTCAGGCTATACGTATTATTCGGTAGGTCACATCCGAGGACAAGAGTACGGGAGTGTAGTTTCAACAATTGGAACATATCTGTCGTCCAGATATTAAATAACGGTCAACCAAATCGTGATGGCGTCCGTAAAATTGTCGAAAGGATGATTTCAACTTCACCACTTGAAACTATCGGTTTAAAAGCTTTCTTGCAAGCAGCAACAATCTATCAAGGAAACCATGATAGGAAATGCAAGCCCTGGAATATCGTTTCAACTGGAAGATATATATTCAATATGTAGGTGCTGCTAGAATGTTGCTACATAGAAATGAAAAGTACACAATTTGGGAAGCTGAAGTAATCTCTTCTGTCGTAAAGTTTTGTTCTCAACTGACCCTCAATGCCAATTTCTAGATGTAAGTAAGATATGCAGCAGACTGAACTGTATCTGTTGTATCCTTTATTTCAAGTTGGATGGGATAGATGTGTGCAACAGTCACCAAACCGTTAGTGAAAATTTAGAATGAGGAAAATTTGCTCTCAAAATTATGATCAGGAATTTACTCAACCTGTAGCTAGAAGGAAATATGTCAGATAATTCAATGTTGAAACCTTATTGGACCTTTGTTGTATCCCTCACCACTATCCCACCTCCTTTCTCCTCTCTCATCTACATTTTTTAATCTTTCCGAATACAAATTCAAACCAATTTTCGATTACCTTTCCTTGAATGACAAAATTGCTGTCCCTCTGCCATTTTTAGTTAATTATCTAATAACCATAATATCGTCCTGAAAAAAGTGTCAACATTGACCAAACCAATTCACAATCTACACAGACACGTTTTTGGATAATGTATTTATTTACAAAATGGTCCTGCTGAATTCGTTGAGAAATAATACTTTCCGTGACCTTTCTGGTGACCATTGTATCCCATGTCGGCACAACCAAGTCCACATCTAGCGCAATGGCCTGCGTCGAAGTCCTTTTTTGTGTGGCAAGGTTTTCCACTGAAGGCACATTGTGAATTGATCGATTCTGTGAACAAGTCTAAAACCCTCATATGACTGCATGCTATGGTTGATGTAAACTCTGAAATCAACAGTTTTTAATTCTAATTACTTATTGTTTTGAAACAAATCTTCTCTACAGTCAGTTCAAACTTCGGGTTTATCTAGATAATCTTATGATGCAATCATCCAATCACTGTTTATAAAAAAAGCGGAAGATACCAAGGGGACATTTTAAAAAAACTCGTAAATCGAAGAAAAAGGGACAACGCAATTGCAAAAGAAAACGAAAAACGACGAAAAGACGAGTAAGTCTACAAAGCACTACATAGAAAATTAAGGTAGCAATACACAGTTCGGAATGTAGTTTTGAATTTTGGCCAAGGTCAAAATTTCAAATATGAAAGTCATTGTGCATTAAAACTAGATTTTAGCTAGGTGACGAATAATATAGGCATCAAATTGGTTAAATGAAGATCAAGCTAGTTATATGTATACTTTATGGGCTATTTTCTTTTTTAAAAGTCCGTATTTTCTTTTTCAAACTTGTCGAAGGTCTACAGATTATCCTTTTGTTACTAACACATTTATGTTATGAAAATGAGATGAAAAGCATTTGATTGATGGTTTAAGAAAATATATCACTCAAAGGGGTTTATATAGTTCGATTTGTAGATATACATGTATGTACTTACGTTCGATTTTCCCAGTAATTAAACTAAACAAATGTGAACCAATATCACGTTCACAACCAGGCTGTTTTTCACCACCATTTGGATAAAAGTCAGCATGACCAATTGCTTTTTCTAATCCAAAACCTATTTATTTATTTAAAACAATGCAGTTGAAACAAACGATTTAACACTTACAATCAAAGGCAATAATACTAGCTTGTCACTAACGAGACATTTAAAATTTAAAATTGTCGAAACGCGCACCTTGTGAGTAAAATTGGTACCGTAAATGTCAAAATTATCACAGGGTCGATATGTTGACGAAATTACCAAAATTTATACGCATGATATAAACAAGTTGAGTAGGTTCTTATATACCAGTAGTCGATTCAATCTTTAATGATTAATTGATTGATTTTAAAGATTTTTATTTAAGTAATCTCGGAATGATGTGAAAACTTCTTTATGTGAAGCCGGGAATATTCTCCAGTTATTGTAAAACAACTGTGAATCTCTATCGTGCTTGTCATATACTTTAAGCTTAAGAGTAATCTTGTCACACCATCAAAATTTGAAGCACCAGTTGTTACATGTTCTCAATAAAAATACCAAACAAAGAATTACAGCAAATTAACTTCTACGCCAACACATTTTCCTTGCTCTTAACTTGTATATGGATGAGACTAAAACATATTTGCCTTATGAATATTTGTGTTGATGATATTTGAATATTTCTTGTATGTTGATGAAGGAAGCCCTTCCAATATTTCTTTCTGTCGTATGATGTTTACTAATTGGAAGTCTATGCATGCAAAGTGGAACGTTTAATTTTAAAAATATTGATAAATTGTATAATACCGGTACATAAAAAAGCAAGAATATGCCAAAGGGACAATCAAAAACCACAAGTCGAGGAGAGATAAACAACGCCATGACCCGCATAGTCCAATTCACTCACTACAAAGAAAACATAAGATTGAGCTATACAGGTTGGTTGAAAAACATGATGCATTTATGAGTAACGGAAATGAACTCAGTACTGTTTCAATACCACCTTATAGTGCTTAAACAAATGCTTTTCAGGACTTTTAATTACCTAACTGTAAAAGAGAATCACCATCGGTGTGTATAGCTTCTACGTAATGAGCATCAGATGGATCTAATCTTGTCTTCGGATCTTTATTCTCAAACAATGGTCCAGCTGGATCAAGTCCTGCAATCATAATATAAATAAGAAGATGTGGTATGATTGCCAATGAGACAACTCTCCATCCAAGTCACAATGTATAAAAAGTTAACAATTTTAGTTTAAATTACGGCCTTCAACACGGAGCCTTGGCTCATACCGAACAGCAAGCTATAAAGGGCCGCAAAATGACTAGTGTAAAACAATTCAAACAGGAAAACCAACGATCTAATATAAAAAACGATAAACGATAAACACCTATGAACCACACCAACAAACGATAACCACTGAACAACAGGCTCATGACTTAGGACAGGTGCATAATAATGCAGCGGGTTTAAACGTTTTAACAGGCACCAACCTTCACCCTAACCTGTGACAGTAGCGTAACATTACAACACAAAAAGACACACTATAAAATATCAATTGAAATGGCTTACCTCGATGAAAAAGACATTTAAACAAAAACAAGTAAGCATACACTGAACGAATAAGTTTGATCTATGACACAATATAAATACTATACTAAAACGTAGGTGCCTTTATAAAATAGAGGTTACAATTAGTAATAAAAAAAAAGATGAAGAAAGAGTGTCAATAAGACAACTCTAATCTGTGACAAAATGACGTTAAATAAAACAACGTACACAGGTAAATTTGAATATAATAATTTTGTTGTTAGGAGTACGGAAGTAAACATTTTTTACAAAATCAATAAATTTGTTGTTCAGAGTACGAGTACAGAAGAGAAAATTTATCGTCATATTAAAAACACAAGGTGGTACATATAAAAAGACATAAGTCTTAATCAGTATGTTTGTATTACATATGTACTAAACACAAATAGTCAAAAAAAAAGAAGAGGCGAAATATACCAAAGTTATATTCAAACTCATAAGTCGAAAACAAACTGACAACGCCATGGCAAAAAAAAAAACGACGAAAAACAAAAAGAAATACACATAGAAAACTAGACTGAGCAACACGAACCCCTACTAAAATCCGGGGATGATCTCATGTGCTACGGAAAGTGTAAGCAGATCCAGCACCAGACGTGACACGAAGAATCACCAAGGGATAGACTTTGACTCTTTGGAAAAGTCTTATTAGTCGACACTGTAAGTGTATCAAGTGTTCGGCTGATGGAAATGTTAAAAATCTTTTCTGGTCTCCAACAATTTTAGTTGGAGTGCGAATGTTCAGACTGACGGCTTTTTCTGATAACAAAATGTCACTGCAATCGAATAAACGAAAATTTAATTTCCAATCATTAAACTGAAAGTACAGTGAAACAATTGAAGAATATGCCACCTCATGTTAAAGAAGGCCATGCAAAAAATGTCCTTCACCAAAACTGAATATTCAGAGAAAAGGGTCACAGTCTCCTCTTTGCTACCATTAAGTTTGCTGCTATTCAATATATGGATTGTAAAATGGCGAAAGACGTCAATAACATTGATGAAATTATATTTTCGTAAAAAGTATGATTTTTCAAAACTCTAAAAATGGCTAATTCTGAAGAAGAAAACAAATTGACAGAAAATGGTTCAGATGTGATCAAAAGAATTCCTTGGATTATTTGGATCCGTTACTCAAGTTTTTTCTGTCTATTTGTTGGACGATGAAAAAAAATATTAAAACCTCGTTTAAAATGGAAATAATCCTTGAATTTTTTTGCACGGTTTTCCCTGCTGCTGCTGCATTTAACAAATAATCAGTAACCGTGACTCACGGATATTAAATTATTTTTACTTTTTTGTTTGTGTTTTTATTTTTGTCATCTTTTAAGCTGTTTATTTTATTGTTGTCTTTTCCTGATCTTATTTGTAATGTATGTTCTTCTATGTACGTTTTGTAAGTCGTCAAAGAGTCGGGATTAAAAGGGAGGATTAAGGATGTACTTAGGTGAAATTAAAAAAATCTAGATACTGTAAGTCTGAAGAGCATTAGTTAAGGAACAAAATAAGCTAAAAAAAAATTGATAGTTTATGGAGCTCCTTTTCGAGATATTTGATTTTAAAAAATTGGCGGGAAAAAGGCTGACTCGGACTTTTACCTTATATTTGCATTGGTATTATTTGGGTCTCAAATCGAAAGAAAAAAATCTAGAATCTGCTTAAATTTTGGTAAATGACCTTTTATGAGCTATCGAAGTGTTTTATGAAAAGAAAAATGAGTGTTATGGGGCAAAATATTTTACTCTGTATTATAGGAAAAAAACCAATGAGTCCAAACATCTGAAAAAAATTCCTAAACCTCACCTAAGTACATCCTTAAGATAACAAACACTCCACATAAAAAAGGAGATATGGTATGATTACAAATGAGATAACCATCCAAGAGACCAGAAATACGAGGATGTAAACAACAACAGCGTACTGTACGGCCTTCAACAATGAGCTACACCTATACAGTATTGTAAACTTTATAAGCTTTTAAAGGCCAAGGCAAGACAAAACTATTACTTCATTTAGATTAAATACTAATACAGATACCTTATAAATATGAATTCCCTGCAGCCTTAGTTAATCTAATAAAAATTTTCTATAATTTGGCTGATTTGATAATTGTTCAGACGTTGGACTGACATTAAACATTACTGTATGTATACTTTGGTTTTTAACTTTCTTAATGTAACCTGTTATTTTTGCTATTGCTCCGTGTACGTAGGCACCAGCATATCCAGAAATGTGTGAGCCCAAACTATGTCCAACAAGATGGAATTTGTTGTAATTAGAATGCCCTATTGAATGTAAAGATTTCATAAGTTCCCCAATAGTAGCCCCAACGACTCGCGTGTTTGCTGCCGCCTGTATGTAGTTAATGTTATCTGCTCCCTTTGCCCAGTTGACTGCAATAACATTCATAGCATCCTGAAAGAAGAAAAAAAACGTTTTAAATAAGATCTTCACAGTCAAGAATAACATGTTGGGTGACGAATTCAAAGAATCATATTATAGGAAATGCATAGAAGTAAACAGAAGAAATTTTAGGGCATGATGCTTTATCTAACTTGTGTAAGTTATAGTATTGTGTCATAAACCCTTTACAAGCATAATATTCTTTTTTGAAGTCTCCAATAAGATATCAGTGTGTATCATGTTCTGTGGTGTAACTACGTTCGGTATGTTCTGTGGTGTAACTACGTCAGGTATGTTCTGTGGAGTAACTACGTCAGGTATATTCTGTGGTGTAACTACGTCAGGTATGTTCTATGATGTAACTACGTCAGGTATGTTCTGTGATGTAACTACGTTAGTTATGTTCTGTGGTGTAACTACGTCAGGTATGTTCGGTGGTGTAACTACGTCAGGTATGTTCTTCGGTGTAACTACGTCAGGTATATTCTGTGGTGTAACTGCGTCAGGTATGTTCTGTGGTGTAACTACGTCAGGTAGACAGCAGAACAACCGGAAGCACAATGGTAAGAATTTTCGCTTCTCAGTGATATAAAAAAAAATGTGAGATTTTTCAGGATTAATACGAACATCTAAATGTTTCTATATAAACACGAAAAAGTGATTAAGGATATCCTGAGATCGAACTGTGGAGGTCCTGAAATATATAATTATGGAGCTCCATCTATATTAAGGATCTCCTGAAAAATGCAATTTTGACAGATTATTTGTGGAGATCGTGAAATGTTTCAGAATATTCTGAAAACGAATTATGCCGATCCTGAAACATTTTAGGATATCCAGAAATCGAATTATGGATCGAGGTCCTGGAAATTTTCAGAAGGTCTTCCATGATTTATGGATATCCTGAATTCGAATTATGGAGGTTCTGACTACATCCGCACTTCATTGTTAATCATATAGTATATTTTGAGTTGGGCCTTGCCGTTGTATGTAACCTGGTAACTAGATACTCTACAAGATTGAAATTTGCTGTTATAAAATTTTGGAAATCTTCTTAAATTAAGAATATATATCTCTCCTTCGTGCAAAACTCTGATTCCTTGTCCGAATTTAGTTATACTGTATGTCTTTTTTGTTTAATAGGCTCTTCAACGTTTGTATAAGGTGTTGGTGCAGTAAAATTGGTACCGTTGGTGTTATTAGTTTTCGAATAAGCCATGAAATAATAAAACTTGCGTATGTGGACAGTTATATTGGATAATATAACTTACTTTTTTTAGAAGCTCTCGTGTCATAACCCGAATCCAATCACTTCTACCGTCATCTTGATAACCATGAGTGATAAACAGTGTTTGCTTATTTCCATCGAAATGTGAATGTCTGATGGTTGAAGCATCATACGGATTCAGTTGAAACTCGTGCGTTGGGTTTTGTCGTGTATATAATAAAAACTCTGTTTGAATATGGTCCGGAGATTCTGGGAGTTTACCATTGGCGTTATTGTATGGAGATGCATTGCTAAAACATCCTATATGGTCATAGCAGACTTTTCGGCTGAACAAAAAACCTATAACAGAAAGATACTAAATGCCGTATTTATAAAATAAATCTTACAAAGATTAACATATATGCATGCATATGAGGAATACTCGCTTTGTTTCACAAATTAAATTTACAAAAGATTAAAAGACAACGAGAATAATTGAACAATGTAAATTAAGGAGACAGTTACCGATGTTCAAATATCCTAAAAAAATGATTTCGGTAAGGGTTCCCGCATACGCAGCTTATCTGGAAGGGGTCATGCTTCCAATAATACTGATGAAAAGCAAATGCATGTTACATAAACTTTCTTTTCTTAGGAACCTTACGAACTCCCTAAATTCAACAAAACAGGACGTTCTTCTTCATAGGAGAGGAGGCGTATTTTTGTTGCACATTGTTTTATGAGGTCATCAATTATAATAGCACTAAATCTGTGACAGGATTTTTCTGAATCTCATTCAATTTCGTCAACAAATATATATTTTTTTACATAAAGACCGTAGTAAAAAAAGCACTGTGTTTTATGTATTTGATGCTGATGCTGTACGAGTTAAGAGTAACGATGTCTCCATTGCTTTAAAAATCCACGATAACACCTGCTGATCATTAAAAGACGTTTATAGATATATTTAGTGTTATTCTAGTATAAGAGAGGTTTCGGTTATCCAGTGGTGAAGATAAGTTGTAAGTTTTTTCTAATAATTAGACTTTATACATCTAAACATGAGATTTTACGACAATTGTACTCCAACGGATGACATATTGTTATACAGGTCTAACACCACATATTACATTTAATTCGTTTGAAATTTAGCTCAACAATTAGATCTGCAGTTTTTTTTACTAAAAACAATTATCTTCCTACAGCGAAATTTGAAACCTTGTCTCCCCTGCTTTACTGACCACTGATTTTATGTTGATAGTCCTTAATACAAAGTTTTACTACAAGTTTCACAAAAACTAAACATGATCCAAGAAAATGAGGTTAAGGTCAGATAAACAAAGCCTGAAATACATGTACACCTTACAATCATTCCATACACCGAATATAGTTGACCTATTGCTTTTAGTATACTAGAAACAGACCAAAACCATGAAAACTTTATATTGACCAATGAACCAAAAAATGAGGTCAAGGTCAGATGAAGCCTGCTAGACAGACACCTTACAATCATGTCATGCATCAAATATAGTTGACTTATTGCTTATAGTATCTAAGAAACAGACTTAACCAGGAAAACTTAACAATGAACCATGAAAATGAAGTCAATGTCAGATGATACCTGCCAGACAGACATATTCCTCTTACAATCATTCCATACACCAAATATAGTTGAACTTTTGCTAACAGTTTTAGAAAAACAGACCAAAACACAAAAACTTAACATTGAGCAATGAACCGTGAAATGAAGTCAAGGTAAAATAAAACTTGCCAGACTGACATATACATTGTAAAATATTTCCATTGACCAATTGAAATATAGTTGACCAATTGCATACAGTTTAAGACCGAAACAGACCAAAACACAAAAACTTAACGTTAACCACTTAACCATCAAAATTGGGTCAAGGTCAGATGACACCTGTCAGTTGGACATGCACACCTTACAAGCCTTCCATATGCCAAATATAGCAGACCTATTGCTTATAGTATCTAAGATATGGACTTAACCACGGAATCTTAACCTTGTTCACTGATCCATGAAATGAAGTTGAGGTCAAGTGAAACTATCTGACAGGAAGGAGGACCTTGCTATACACATACCAAATATAGTTATCCTATTACTCACAATAAAAGAGAAATTAACATTAAAATCTTAACCTTTTTTCAAGTAGTCACTGAACCATGAAAATGAGGTCAAGGATAATGGACATATGACAGACGGAAACTTCATAACACAAGGCATCTATATACAAAGTATGAAGCATCCAGGTCTTCTACCTTCTGTTAAATTTAGCTTTTAAGTGGTTAGTTGTTTTTTTTTCCTATCCTAATTGGAGTGTCGTATATGTTTAATGTTTATGTAATAATAATCACAATAAATATTGTTAACACTAAGTTTATATAAAGATATGTTTGTAGAAATCTTTTGACTTGTATATTTTTTTTCCTGTTTGTGAAAGAGAGGCATACGATACCAAAGGGACATTCAAACTCATAAATCGAAAATAAACTGACAATGCCATGGCAAAAAATGAAAAAAGACCAAAAGACAAACAACAGTATACAAAACACAACATAAATAACTAAAGACATAGCAAACAGTATCGTCATTTCCGACCGGATACCTATCGCTTTAACTGGTTGGTTGTTTTCTTAAACTTTTCTTAAATGCAATGCTAGTTTGTTATCAAATTAAATTTTCTACTCAAGAGTTTTAAAGATGGATTACCTGACACAAATACGCTGGACTGCAAAATGAATAAAACTAACAGAAATGAATCCATTCTTCCATTCATACAGGGCTTATCAGATATTGGTGAACTTTGTAGAAGACCGATTTATGATACAAGTCACGATTTTTGTATATATAATTGAACTTGGTTCGGGTTATAAGTTCTCAGATAAAACAAAAATGGTTATGAAACTACGCTGGATTATACTGACCTTTCATTCTGACCAATTCCGGAAATAATGACAACAAGGTCAAAACATAACATAATTACTTAGATGCATGATTTTTTTATTAGTTGTTATTGGTTTTGAACTAACTGTCAATCACTGCGAGTACTCTCAGATATATTATTGATGTCATTTTTGTTGTGGGGATGTATAAATACCCCGCCACGTCCAGTCTGTGTTTTTGTTAGATGTTTTTCTGACTAGTTAAGCTCTTATCAACTGCTTTTCATTGTTTGTTCACCACTGTCACAGTTTATGGGGAGGGTTTTTCGCGAACAAACTAGTTTAACCCCGCCACATTCTGTATGTGCCTGTCCCAAGTCAGGAGCCTTTAATTCAGTGGTTGTCGTTTGTTGCTGTATATCATTTTGTTTTACGTTCATTTTTTAGTACACAAATCAGGCCGTTAGTTTTTCTTATTTGAATTGTTTTACATTTGTCATTTTGGGGCTTTTATAGCTGATTATGTCATTTGGTCTCTGGTGGAGAGTTGTCTCATTGGCAATCATACCACATCTTCTTATTTTTATATTTAATCATTATCATAATCACAAACGACACATTAACCATCTCGGTGGTCTCGTTCTACCGACCTCGCATCGAGTGAGTTCTATCCCCGAATAACCAAAGCGAAAAGAAAGTAATTTGATTATATGCTGCCTTTTTAATGCCCAACACATACTATTTAGGGGAAGGGGAAGGGTAAAGGTTGTTCGATACGTTCAGCATGATGGGTCCTGGAGAAGCGAAATATGTGTTTGCGCACGTTTATATGCGGGTTCAGTTTGTAGGTCTAGTTCACAGTCGAGTTCTCATTTGCATGTACTCGTCCTGAAAATGCTTGATATTTTACCTGCTGGACGTTAAACATGCATCCATTCATTATCTTGATCTTCATAAATAGAAGGCTAATTGTTCTCAGAATTTTTAAGAGAATCATGTTAAATTGCATTAATAAGATGGATTGATTGTTGGATACCTTATGTCCAACGGCAAATATTACGCGCATGGAAGAATGCCACTCTACACGGACACTTTATTCTGGCTATGACCCGTTTTTCCGAAGAGACATTAATGCATTGGGGGGAGGGGGCGGCAAATATTTTTACCCGACCGAGGATTAAAACTGCGACTTCTCAAAGACCACGAGATGAGAGTTGTGAATACTGAAAACATATAGTCCCAATTCCCTACTTTCTGAAAAAAGATGTCATCATAACAAAAACATTTCACTATGATAAAATATTTTTTTCTATTTACATACCGTTATATGCATAGTCAAAAATAAACCGACACATTCATACCATAATTGACTTGGCAATACATTGAAGTAGAAATTACTTAAACTGCTTTTAAAGAACCAATCAAAGATACCAGGTTATAGTTTATAAAGCAAAACGCGCACGTCGTATATACAATACTCACAAGTGGTACTCGTTAAATCAAAAAAGATGGAATACACAATTTATTACTTAGTTGAAGCGCATTGGAAACCAAACATTCCACAAAATACACCGGTAGTGCAAAATCTGACTAAAGCCCTATGACTCGGTTGAAAAAACCTAAGTGTAACTTTCAAATTTTTTAAAAGTTTTATAAAGAAGCAAATTGAGAAGTATATCCAAAGAACTGTAAAATTACTCGATTGTATTCCTGTTGGTCTTTGCTCTGATCTTTAGCAAGGCCAAGATAGCGGAAAACTCGAAACAATTTTATGTTTTGAAAAACAACACTACAGACCATTGTTTTTAATTTCCCAACTTGAGGTTTATCCATCAATGATAACCCGCAATGTTGGAATATAGAAATAGAAAGTCTTCAATAGGAAAGCTGAAATCATGTTCTTTGTTGGAAAGTTTAGTTTTCAACCGTTCCTCATTGTCAGTTTCTAGATGTAAATTAAGATATGAGGAAGACTTAACATGAGAACTGACATGATATCTCATGGGAACATGATTTATTTTTAAGTTGTGATTGGCTTTGAACTAGCTTTCAGTAACTGTAAGTACTCTTATATCGAGTCTGTTGGGTTTTTTTGTGTGATCCGTACTGATCTATTGAGTTAGGAATTTTGCAACTGATTTTAATAGATGGTTATAATGTTGGGCTGTTACACAATTATCCAAGGTTAGGAGGAGGGTTTAGTACTCATAAACATGTTCAACTACTCCACATTCTTTATGTGCCTGTCCCCAAGTCAGGAGCCTGTAATGTAGTGGTTGTTGGTTCATGTCTGCCATATTAGTATTTTTAATATATTGAATTGTTATAAATTATGTCGTTAGTATCTTGTTGGATTCACATTATACTATACGATATGAGCTTTTCCTTATTATTGAAGGCGGTGACATATGCTTACATCCACAGCATTTCAACCCTAGTGGCTAGTTTTACATTGGCAATCACACCAACCTCCTTACTTTTAAATTAACTATATCTGTGGAATCCTTTTATTTCGAGATTGATAAGAGAGATGCGTTCAGCATAGTCACCAAGCTTTGAATTATTTAGTGAAAAGACCATCTTTATAGCGGAGCGTATAGATTTAAAGGATAATGTAAGCGTTGTTTTCGTTCTTACTTAGAAACTCGTATTTTTTATGGTTCATCAACATATGCCAACATGGACATGTAGGTATAAAATTGTTTGAACAAATATTGATATAGGTTGAATAATATATAAACAGATTTAAGTGTTGAAAAACATAAATTAATAAGGGGTTAATCAATTTACAAAATCAGTCTAAACTTAGCGTTTAAGTGTAACTATCTTTTTTACATGTAACAGTGGAAATGTAGGCAATTGGATTGGTTGCTGATCTCCTTGTTTTAGGAATTAACATAATAAAACAAGGGAAAATAAGAATTTTGTTTATTATTTTTAAAAAATAATCATCCTGATTCATATGAAATATAATACCAACATCATTCTCACGAATACTATACAATACAAGATGAAAATATTTGATTAAAATTTAAGCAGAATTTCATAGAATTACTATATACAGCACTATTGTGATAAGAAATAACACAAATATATACAAAAACAATTTTTTCATATTGCTGAATGCAATTCAGAAACACTTTCGAGCAATCAATATCAAATCATACAATGTTTACACAGGCACAAAATGAGATAAGTTTAATGGATACAAATAGGCAAATAAGTTATGTTTATATTTACTAGAGAGAGAGATATATGCTAGACAATACAATGTCTAAAGCTTGGTCGATGTCCGGTGTAACCACAACTACCAAATCCCCTTTTTCCTCCCTCTCTATCGTATGTCTTTTTAAATTCTGCCGAGTGCATATTCAATACTGATCTCAATTACCTTTCTTATTACTAGTATGTCAATTAAAAATAGGAAGAAACTATATTTTAATTAATCAACTATTTGACATATCATGGTCATGATAATAGCTGCTAAATGGACTAAAACAACTCACAATTTATAAAGACAGGTTATTACAAAACGTTATTGTTCACAAAATGGCGCGGCTGAATTCGTTGAGAAGTAATATTTTCCGTGGCCGTCTTGTTGACCATTATATCCCATTTCAGCACAACCATTTCCACATCCGGTGCAAAGGCCGGCATCAAAGTCCTCTTTCGTGTCGCAAGGTTTTCCAATGAAGGCGCATTGTGAGTTGATAGATTCTGTAAACAAGTCGAAAGACCTCATATGACTGCATGCTAGTGTTGCTGTAAACCCTAAAATAAACAATTTCAAATATTAATTACTAATTTTTCGGAACCAAAACTTCTATAGAGTCATTTAAACTGTGACTTTGCTAGATTTCGCTTATGATGCAAGTTAAAAGCGAAATCAGTTTTATCGAATTCATTAACAGCTTTCTGCACACTAAAATATGAGTAAAGAGATTCAAGATGCCAATTAACCAGATCTCCTTATTGTTATATCGAAGTCGAGGACCAACTGGCAACGCGATATAGGATAATTATCAATGAAATAACAACCCATAGACAAAAATAATATTATTTTGTCGGCCATATTGAACGGATAGTACATACGGTTTTTATAAAACAAACAAAAACCTATATATATTGACATTTTTTTTTTTCTTCAAGAAAATAGTACATCGATACCAACATCTTAACGTTCTTTTCACGATACTTAATTTTTTTATCACGATGTTGAGTTTTAACCGGTCTGACAAAAGCTTCTCCGATAAACAACTGATATTCATATAACCTATTAAATGCACAGCCATAGATCTACAAAGTCCTAATTAGAATAAAACGTGTTTAGTAAAACAGCATGGACGGACAATTTTCACGAAGACCAAAAAAAAAATAAATTGTACAGAAGTTTTAGCGAGATATGCCAGTTTGACGAACAATATGTATATAAGAAACAGTGTTACCGGTAGATAACATAAATTAGTAACAAAGTTAAAAAATATTCTAGATAGCACGTAAAAAGTTGGATTTTAGCTACAAACAAAAAAGTGAACAAAACAAAATAAACGTAGAAATGAAAAAAAAACCTAACATATTAACATAAAAATCACAACTCCTTAAGCTTCTACTTTCCGGGGTACTTGTTGGGTTTCTTTTCTGTTTTTTGGGTTTTTTTTTTTATTTTACATCATCCTTTTAATGCTAAATGGAATGTATAAAAAAATATAAAAGGCAAGCTAAAAAAAATTTTACAAAATCTATAGGATTTATATCAGTTTGATTCGTAGATATATATTATGTGTGTACTTACGTCCAATTCTACCAGTTATTAAACTGAACGTGGCGAGACGAAACTTTCTTGAACAACCAGGCTGATTTACACCTCCATTTGGATAAAAGTCAGCATGACCAATTGCTTTATCTAATCCAAAACCTATTATTAGATTTAAATGATATAGTTGAGACAAACGATTCAACATTAAAAATCAAAGTCAATATTGATGGAGCTTCACTGAAGGGATATGAATTGTTGAAATGTGCAACTGGGTAGTAAAATTATTACAGTTTATGATAAAACTACTACGGGACCGATCCGTTTACTGATGGACTGTTGATTCTTAAAGGTAGCACTAGCTTTTTAGCTTGTGCTGAAACACCGGCATGAAAATATGAATATTTTTTTTCTTAATCCTTGCTGTAATAAAATTTTGCATTGATTTTAAAAGAGGGAATGTGTCTCCCTTATGCATAGCTCTAACTCCTTTGCTGGGTTTTGTTTTAATTAAATGTCCTTTTTAGCTCACCGTTCCGAAACAGTTCCTTCGGAACGGTGATCTTTTGCCATCACTTGGCGTCCGTCGTCGTCCGGCGTCCGTCCGGTGTAAACTATTTCAAACATCTTTTTCTCTGAAACTACTGAACCAATTCCAACCAAACTTAAGCTGAATGATCCTTGGGGTATCTAGAATAAAGTTTTGTGTTTTATTTTCTGTTTCGTAGAACATAGGGGTAAAATGCAGTTTTTGGTTTATATCTCAAAAGACCAAAGCATTTAGAGCAAATCTGACATAGGGTAAAAATGTTCAATAGGTCAAGTTCTATCAGCCCTGAAATTTTCAGATGAATCTAACAACCCATTGTTTGGTTGCTGCACTAAATTGGTAATAATAAAGAAATGTTGCCGTTTCTGGTTATTATCTTGAATATTATTATAGATAAAGACCATTTAAAAAGACTGCAAGTATACTCAGTCTGTTGCTTTTTATGATAGTCTTAGCATAAAAGAAAATTTAGTTACCTAATTGTATAAGAGAAGATCCATCAGTGTGTATAACTTCTACGTAATGAGCATCAGATGGGTCTAATCGTGTTATCGGGTCTTGATTCTCAAAGCAGGGCCCAGCTGGATCAAGTCCTGCAAACAGAAGTCTTAAATAGTATCTTTGTATTACAAGACAAAAATGCTACTAGTTTACTGCCTTGTTGGTTTTCAGTATGGATAGTAAAATATATGGAGTGTATCAGCGTTGATAAATTCAACTAAACAAGGTAAGACAATCGTAGAAGTGTTAAGTATGTGGTATACAAATAGAAGATTGAATATTCAATGCAGGCAATGAAAAATAAATATCCAAATCCTGTACGCAAGAGCATCTTGTAAAAATAATTGATTAGCGCTGATTTTTAAACTCGTTCCAGGCATTGCTTACATATATCCGTTGGCGTAAATTTCAAAACAATTTTAAAAGAAATGTAGGTTTGAGGGCGCTTACAATGTAATTTTCTTTATAATTTATTTTTTCAAGAGTCGAAACTCCCTTAAAGGGGCATTAGCTACGAGATGATTTTTTTGTTCAATCATTCAAGAATTAATATAATTCGCTTTTAGCAGCCAATTTGGTTCAATTTTGTCAAAATAAGCTAAGAAACATCGCTTGATGAATTATTCACTTGCAAGTGTAAAATAAGATGGGAAAGTAAAACATGCAATGGGCCCCGGAGAGGAAGAGAACTAGAGGAAGGCCAAAAACTACATGGAGAAGAACAACAGAGAAAGGAACCAACAAGGATTTAAAAGTTGGAACTTGGCCAGAACAGCGGCACAAGATATAAAAGGGTGGAATAGCAGCGTGGAGGCCTTATGCGACTTCTGGCGCGGAGAGAATTAAGGTTAAGGAAGTGAATAATTCGACCTCATTGAATCCATATTCAAGTGACCTTTGATTTAACCCCTTAGCTGGAGATGGGTTACGCAATTATTCAGCTATTGAAAGCAAAATAATGTCAACATTGGAAGTGAAGCAAGGATGAAATATTTGGTTGACTGATTCGATATGACCATCGGCAGTCGACGGAGGTCATCTCGACAATAATACACACGATATGTCGATACATATTATCGAGTGCATGCATTGTTAATTTTTTATTTTAGACTTTTTGTACTTTGGATATAAGATTTATTATGTTATAATCAAATAAGAGAATTTGAGTCAAATCGGTGAACATGAATCCCTTTAAATATCTTATCTTTGATGAAAACATCCTTTAAATCTAGTAATTTTGTACACGTGAGAGCTCCTACAATATATGACGAACAGACGCCACAGCACCCAGTATTTCTTCACCCTCTGCAAGTCGTGGAGGGGTAAACACATCAATTAGAAATAGCATGGACCATCAATTGGCACGACATACAAAAACAACTCCTCACAAAAAGACAAAAGACACAAATTATTAATCTAAGGATACCCAAATGTACTGAAAGCCAGTTAAAACAAATCAATAAATCATCTTCGCACAGGCTAAAGTAGCAATCAGTACACCGCAAACGGTGTAGTGAAAAGACGTCATAAACAGTCTTGCGCCTGTCCCAAGCCAGGAGCCTCTGGCCTTTGTTAGTCTTGTATGTTTTTAAATTTTAGTTCATTTATATGTTTTGGAGTTTAGGGTGACGTCCATTTTCACTGAACTAGTACACAATTTTATTTAGGGGCCAGCTGAGGACCACCTCCGGGTGCGGGATTTTCTCGCTACGTTGAAGACCCATTGGTGGCCTTCGGCTGTTGTGTGCTCTTTGGTCGGGTTGTTGTCTCTTTGACATATTCCCCATTTCCATTCTCAATTTTATTGGGAAAAGGATGACCTTGTACAATGCTAAAATTAGTACAAAATATTGACAGGATATAGGACCGTGTGTTCATAAAAAGCGTAGCACGTTTAAAATCCGAACAGCGGTATGGCCGAATACAAACCAGGGTTTACATTCATATCAGACAGTTTCATGCAATAACGACTGAATGATATCAATTAGAACTGGTCTAAGTAGTTTAATTTTATTTTCATTTTTACAAAATCGACGAATTTATACCATTTTAAATGTTTTCAAATAAGTATCAGACATTATTTGAGTAGTGGGTTCTAAGACAATAGTGTTCCAAAACATAGTTGAAAGTATCATTTGTTTTTAATATTTTTATTTCTCAAAGAACGTGGTTCATCTTGTATATAAAAGTAGGATTTTGTATGATTGCCAATGAGACAACAGATACCAAATATGGAGGATGTAAACAACAATAGGCACTGTACGGCCTTCCACAATGAGCAAACCCCATACAAGGCATGACATGACATGACATATACCGAATCATACATAAAATAAATTGCTTTACCGAGCGCAACTGGATACGACCGCAGAGGTCCAACCCTGAACAGTTGGGACAAAAATGGACACAATATTCGCGCTTGATACAGGTCTAATTGGGATTGTAATTAAACATTTGACACATAATAGGTTTTTGACACAGAATAACTGTAGTCAAAGATAAAGGCAACAGTAGTATACCGCTGTTCGAAATTCATAAATCGATTGAGAAAAAAACAAATCCGGGTTACAAACTGAAACTGAGGGAAAAACATCAAATATAAGAGGAGAACTACATTGGAAGTGAAACAAGCATGTTCAAAGAATTTAGAATTGGTTATATGATTTGAATTTATATTCAATTTTTTGCTTTTGTGCAATACACTTTGCTGTTGCGAATTGACCCCCTCCCCCCCACAAAAAAAAATTACCCTCCCTTTTTTTTTGCTTTTGTGCAATACACTATGCTGTTGCGTATTGACCCCCCACATTTTACAGTGCAGCAAACTATAACAAGAGTGCACACGCTGAAATGTCTCGCCTTCTTTACTAATCATTGATATTATGTTGATAGTCCTAAATATAAAGCTTTAATACAACTGTCACATAAACTTAACATTAACCAAGTAAACTAAACATTGACCAATGAACCATGAAAATGAGGTCAAGGTCAGATGAACCATGCTAGGCAGGCATGTACAGCTAACAATTCTTCCATACAACAAGTATGGTTGACCTATTGCTTATAGTTTAAGAAAAACAGACCAAAACACAAAAACTTAACACTGAGCAATGAACCTTGAAAATGAGGTCAAGGTCAAATAAAACCTGCGTGACTGACATATAGATCATAAAATATTTCCATACACCAAATGTAGTTGAACTATTGCATATAGTATTAGAAAAAAAGATCAAATCTCAAAAACTTAACTTTGACCACTGAACCATGAAAATGAGGTCAAGGTCAGATGACACCTGCCAGCTAGACATGTACACCTTACAATCATTCCATACAGCAAATATAGTAGACCTATTGCATGCAGTATTAGAAAAAAAGACCAAAACTCAAAAACTTTTAACTTTGACCACTGAACCATGAAAATGAGGTCAAGTTCAGATGACACCTGCCAGCTAGACATGTACACCTTACAATCCTTCCATACACCAAATATAGTAGACCTATTGCATACAGTATAAGAAAAACAGACCAAAACACAAAAACTCAACTATAACCACTGAACCATGAAAATGAGGTCAAGGTCAGATGACACCTGCCAGCTAGACATGTACACCTTACAATCCTTCCATACACCAAATATAGTAGACCTATTGCATACAGTATAAGAAAAACAGACCAAAACACAAAAAATCAACTATAACTACTGAACCATGAAAATGAGGTCAAGGTCAGATGACACCTGCCAGCTAGACATGTACACCTTACAATCCTTCCATACACCAAATATAGTAGACCTATTGCATACAGTATAAGAAAAACAGACCAAAACACAAAAACTTAACTATAACCACTGAACCATGAAAATGAGGTCAAGGTCAGATAACACCTGCCAGTTGGACATGTACACCTTACAGTCCTTCCATACACCGAATATACTAGACCTATTGCTTATAGTATCTGAGATATGGACTTGACCACGAAAACTTAACCTTGTTCCCTGATCCATGAAATGAGGTCGAGGTCAAGTGAAAACTGTCTGACGGGCATGAGGACCTTGCAAGGTAAGCACATACCAAATATAGTTATCCTATTACTTATAATAAGAGAGAATTTAACATTACAAAAAATCTGAACTTTTTTTCTCAAGTAGTCACTGAACCATGAAAATGAGGTCAAGGACATTGGACATGTGACTGACGGAAACTTCGTAACATGAGGCATCAATATACAAAGTATGAAGCATCCAGGTCTTCCACCCTCTTAAAATATAAAGCTTTTAAGAAGTTAGCTAACGCCGCCGCCGCCGCCGCCGCCGCCTCCGCCGGATCACTATCCCTATGTCGAGCTTTCTGCGACAAAAGTCGCAGGCTCGACAAAAATCAGTTGAAAAGGGTTTAACTCATCAGATCGATACAAAGCAGAAAATATCTAACGAAATCACCGGACGTGGCAGCGTATCTATACATCCCATAACAAAAAAGACACCAAGTAAAGATCTACTTATTAGTATATATTGCGAAAGTATAATTTAGTCTTGTACTTTCTGAATGTTACCTGTTATTTTTGCTATTCTTCCGTCTACGATGGCACCAGCATATCCAGAAATGTGGGCGCCCAAACTATGTCCAACAAGATGGAATTTGCTGTAACTTGAATGTCCTGTAGAATGAAGATTTTTCAAAAGTTCCCCAATAATAGCCCCAACGACTCGCGTGTTTGCCGCAGCCTTTGCATAGATAAGGTTATCTGCTCCTTTTTCCCAGTTTACTGCAATAACATTCAAGTCATCCTAAAACAAGACAAAATGTAGTTTTGAAGAACATCTACAAAGTCAGAATTAAAATTTTGGATGGCGAAATCGAAGATTCGTGTTAGAGGGTCTGGATGAGGGGTCCTTCAATTCTGTATTCTTAAATTTTTCAAGCCATTTCTCTATTCTTTATAAATTTTGCAAAGTATTCACAATTCTTTTCTTTCTTTCTTTACCTATTTTGTCTTTTCTTTGTATTTTGCCCATTTTTCTGTGATAATAATTGCATATTATTTTCTTTTCTGTGAATCCCATCCAGACCATCATACGAGACAGTCAGTAAACAGTAGTTAAAAGTATGTGTAGTAAGAGAATGGTAATTCCTTTCTCGTATTTCTAGCGTTTAATTTTTATTTAACATCTGTAACTTATATTTTCCTTATCGTGTCGTCATGGTCAAAGGCAATGTTCAAAGACAATGTAATGTTCTTTTGACGTCTCTGATAAATGTTTAGTGTGTTTTGTGTTGTATGATCGTCAGGTACACAATAGGACAACCGGAAAAAGAGGGTTTTCGATAAAAGTTTTGAGCTTTTTCATGATTATTATGAACATGATAAGGTTTCTATTTGAATACTAACATGTTATTCCTAGAAATGCAACACAAGTTTCTGGGTTTTGTCAAAGTTCACAGTCTGCACAACTAATTTGCAATTGCCCAATGACCGAATATTTCATTAAATGTTGAAGACCAGTGTCTGGATATGATTTCATTGCCATCCTCTGACAATTTTTAAATATGTACCGATTATAAGGGGAAAGACAGTCTAATTCAATCAAGTTTAGTTCCATATTCGTCTGCCACCTTTTTCAAAAGGTCAAAGGTGAAATACCAACAACTTTTTATCTATCTTAGTCTTGGCCTACACTTATATTTTGATATAGTCTATCTAGTAAATGTTTCAGTATGGTATCTTTGTTATCAGTATGTTCGTCTTTAACCTCAGAGGATTTCTCGGCACTTATTTTTTTTTTTTTTTTTTTTATCTTGAATTCTTGAGGTTTTTAAGTAAATTATTTGGAATGGCACTAACTACAAAATAATCAAAAACAGCAATGACAAATATTTTGGTCTTCAGATTTCTATGTAGTATTTTAAAGACTTGTTTTTTCGTCGTTTTTTCTTTTCTTTTTTTTCTCAATGGAGTTGCTTGGGGTTTAGGTGATTCGATATTCAAGGGTTTGACTTTCTTCCTATGTATATATCATGGTTTCTATGTAGTGTTTTAAAGACTTTTGTTTGTTGTTTTCGTCGTTTTTTTTTTTTTATTTTTTTTTATGCCATGGGGTTCAGGTGATTCGATATTCAAGGTCTTGTGTCAAGGGTTAAAAGCTCATTAGAGCATTTGTTATGCCATTGTTTGTACACAATGCCTACTCTAAATAAAGCTTATTTTATTTATTATTATTATCTATGTATTATTATTATTTAAGTGTTATGTAGTTGTTCATCGATCATGGTCACCATAAAAGAAACATATTTTCCTGAAGCTCCAACCCAAGTTCTCATTTAAGACATTTTACGCGCTTCGATACTGTCCAATATTAATGATGCTGCTTGAAAATGAAGATAAGATTACCCTTCCTTGACACAACACTTTCATTTTCATCATTCGTATCTTACTATTGTTTTTATCATTTGTGGTTTATTGTACACATATCCTGGTCGGATTTCAGATGTTTCGGATGTGTATTATTACTACATGTATGTACTTTGTATTATTTTTTAGAATTGATGAAATTTTCAAACTATGCAGCTCTAAACAATACATTATACTGGTTTCCTTTTATCACATTATTTTGTAAAAAAAAAAAAACAGTCGTAAATTCTTTGATTTTTAATTTAGTTTCAAAGACTTTTAAAAGTAAACCTGCTGTTAAAATTAAAACAACTAAAATTGATCTGACAGATTTTTAACTTTTTATGGTGTGTATTAAAATAAATTAAAAATAGAAGCACTTTTAATGAACCATTAATTATTGAGTGCTGCTGCTCAAGCTTCTGACATGCAATTTTCAAAAAAAATATTTCCAGGTCCGACTTCCAATGCATGATCTCACAAACTGTAAATACCAACCATAAGCTTCAGACGAGTATTATAAGTATTCTTATACACATTCACTCTACAAGGTATGATACATCAAATTGCTGTATTTATTTAATGTGTATATCCTAACTAACCTTTTTTAGAAGCTCTTCTTTCATAGCCTGAACCAAATCACTGGTAGCGTAGTCGTTGTAACCATGAATGATAAATACTGTTTGCTTACTTCCATCGAAATGTGAATGGCTGATGTTTGACACATCAAACGCATTCAGTAGAAACTCATCCGTTGGGTTTTGTCGTGTATATAATAAAAATTCTGTTAAAATATGGTCCGGAGATTCTGGTAGTCTACCATTCGCGTTATCATATGGAGCTGCATTGCTAAAACATCCTATATGGTCATAGCAAACTTCCGGTCGGCTGAACCAAAAACCTGAAACAGAAAAATACAAAGTTTCGAATCTTACTACAAAGATTTACATTTGTGCATGAATATGGGGAATATTAGTTTTGTTTTACAACTTAATTTCGCGAAAAATTAAGCTCAAAATCGAATGGTTAACGAAAGTGTAGTTTTAATTTCTCTTTGAATGTTTCCATGGTTGATAATCAGATACGAGGCAATTCTATCAAAATATTCAATCCAGTTTTTGGGATGACAAAATATAGCTGTCAACAATATTTAAATATAAGACAGGTGTATTTTATCGAGAGGGAAACAAAGGGAACGTATGTTTTCAGTTTGACATGTTGTAATGACGCTCGCAACTTATGTTTCACAAACAAAATAGCAAGAGATGAAGCGCTCTAAAATCAATGACACTAGAACACACCCGCGACATCGCGGGTCCGTGACTGAATTAAAGTATTTAATCATGTATAAGCCTTATTTTTGTCCTTGACTTTTAGTATTGCTATTGTCATCTGATAAAGTCATGCTGATTATAAGATGCACAGTTTTCTCTGCTTTCAAAATCTTTCTGCTTGAACCCGTTGACCTGGAACTTAGTAATTATTGATAATATTAATTATTTGGAAAACATGTCACGGAATAGAAGTTCTTTCATAATATAAGTTCCAAAAGGAAAAGTATTCTGGAATATTATTTCCATTGGAATAAATATTATATTATATGTTCCTAACGGAATAAATGATATAGAATATTTGTTCCAACAGGAACAGATATTATGACATTGTTTATAACGATGTTTCTGGTGGAACATCTGTTAGGCGGAACAAATATACGTTGACAAACAAAGGGGCCTGGAATTGTGTAATTTTCAATCAACATCATTGTCCTATATTAGTCATATATAAAGTTAAAATTGAGAATGGAAATGGGGAATATGTCAAAGAGACAACAACCCGACCAAAGAGCAGACAACAGCCGAAGACCACCAATGGGTCTTCAACGCAGCGAGAAAATCCCGCACCCGGAGGTGGTCCTCGGCTGGCCCCTACATACAAGACTAACAAAGGCCAGAGGCTCCTGACTTGGGACAGGCGCAAAAATGCGGCGGGGTTAAACATGTTTTGTGAGATCTCAATCCTCCCCCTATACCTCTAGCCAATGTAGAATAAAGAAACACATAGCAATACGCACAGTAAAACTCAGTTCAAAAGAAGTCCGAATCCGATGTCAGAATAGGTAACAAAAGAAACTAAGCAAAATGACAATGATACATAAATTAACAAAGGACTACTAGCAGTCACTGACATGCCAGCTCCAGACCTCAATTAAACTGATTGAAAGATTATGTCTTCACCATTTGAAAATCAAATACAATCTCTCCCGTAAGGGGTCCAGTATCATACCATCATAAAATATATGAGAAGGACATAACCCGTATCATGCCAATAACTGGTTTTAGAATAAATGTGTTTATTTCCGATGCAAAGACCCTATGAGTGAATCAATATTAATAGCAAAATATGCAATCCTTAATGACCTGACAACAGTATTGCAGCCATATTCCTTCCGAATAAGTCTTTTTAAAGGTTTGGTTAGCTTTTGAGGTGAATACCGACATTTTTGTGCTGTGTCAAGAATATTACCATAAAATATTGGACTTGAAACACCCGAACGCACAAGATGTCCGCATGCCGACCTACACCCACGAACGATGTCCCTGCACCGACGACAAAATTTAGTAAATGCCCTGACCAGCCTGCGACATCGAAAACCCTGGTGCAACAATTTTCCAGTAACACAGAGATCTCTTTCATTGAAATCCAACACGTTGCCACACACACGAGCGAATCGAACAAGCTGAGACCCACAAACACCACAAGATGGCGACAAAGGAACGTCACCATCTAAAAATGGACAATCAACAATAGGAAACGAAAAATCATCTCCTCTATCACAAACCTTGGCATCAAGCCATTGAATTCTTTGATTTGCCGTTTTTACGTCATGCCGGCTAACAAATTGGAAACTGTACCTACGCCTTATTTGAAGTCTGGATTTTTAGTATTCGTATTGTCATCTTATAAATTTATGCTGAATAAAATACTACAATAGGAAACAATGTGACAATGATTGAATTTAGTAGTGTCAACCCTGTATAATGACCCGTGTATATAGCAAATCCCAAATACACCGTTTGGTGGTGCACCTGACAGATACGGCGTACAGATAAGGTAATATAGATTTCGCTAACCTGGCATCCTGACCCAATCTAATACTTCGTCGAGCAGTGAGCCAGGATCCCAGGCTAAGATTTCGCGGGCAGTACGTCGACTGAGCATGCGCGAAAGCGTATAAGACACGGATCGATAACGGTCTCCGAATTTGGATATTTTCTGAAAAATTGGTGTTTTCTGTGGAAAAAAGATTGTTTCAAAGACAAATTTAGGAAGTACAAAACACTACATTTATACGTCATATCACAAATATTTCCGACTTTGTATGGTTTCAGAGGAGTTGCGGCTCAATGGAATCGGTCTCTTCCTTTAGTGGTATAGATCTTATTTTCTTTACTTTTCCTTTTTAAATGGTCAGTTGTAGTCTATGCTTGCTGTCCGTATTATTTGTTTTTTGTTTATTGTGTTATCATAAATCAGAGCTTTGGTTTTCTCGTTTGAATTATTTTACATTTCGTCATGTCGGGGTATATTGTAGCTTACTGTATGGTTTGGGTTTATTCATTTTTGAAAGCCTTGCAGTGCCTTATATAAGTTTAAATCCTCGTCATTTGGTTTCTTGTAGTTAGTTCTCATTGGAAATCACACCACACCTTTTTATATTTATATGAACTTCAGAAGTGTTTGTCATTGATGTTAAACAACCAACAATTAATCTGCCTGTCCAAGAGGCCTTTCACAACAGTTGAAAATTTGTTTATGGGTGCAAATTGACCGATGCTTTGTTTTTGCGGTGAGTTTTTAATTTTTTTATGAATTTAAGATAGGTGCAATTTCAGTTGTGCTCTGCAATATAATATTGGTTAACCAAATCTAGTACTCATATTTCTAAGGAAAGATAATCATGCTTGTTTGGAAAAGGCTACACATTTGATTATTGTTTGTTTAATATACAGTAGCACATAAACTGTCATACATATTCCAACAAGAATAAATAATCTTGGACTCTCAAATATATATCAAGTATTTGCTTTTTAAAAAGTTTATCCGACTTAAATGTGAGAAGTGGGTTACAAGAAGGTATAGAAAGTTCTGGTATAGGATTAGGGAATCAGTTAAGGAGGGGCTTAGACTGTATTTTTGTTGAGGTGTCTATTGCTACGAAAACTAAGTATCGGAAATTAATTTGTACCCCCACTACAAATTTAATGCTAATCTGAATGGCTGACACTACTGTGCCAAAATATCCCATATTTTCCATTTAATTGGATTTTAGACGACCATCATTTCAGTAAATGCAAAAACTTGTCCTTTTACATGCTTTTTAGGAAAGTAACTAACCACGAAGCAATGTTACTCATATTTGCGACGTAATGGAAGTGAAACGGACATCCGCTAATTGAACTAATTTTTGACATCGTGACGTCATCTGAATGAACTACAATGCCACAAAGAAGACTATTGTTTAGGTCATCAGTATTCCAAGCTTTTCCGAAAAGCTACAAGTTGTCCAACCATATAACTATAATAATTCAGAAAACATTACTTTTGAAATGACCCACGATTAAATATTACCCGCATTGCAACGCAATGAACGCTGACATACATATTTGAAACGAAATCTATAAATGTCTGGTGATACAGGATTTTCAGAATTTTAATTCAACTTTGACCAAAATCTATTTTTAGTAACGGTAAAAGTTGTTGGGTTAATTAATTCATTATCGCTTAACGTCACATCAGCGCAAAAATCCTATATCGTGACGCGAACCCCATGCACGTATTTAGGCAAACGAAATGTCGGCTGGAGGGTCATCAATCCACGTGGCGTTATTTAATCACAAATGTACAAGTTATCAAAATTTGAAAATATAGGTACCTTGTAAATTATTTTTTTTACGTTGTTTATTTAATTTTTCGTCCCATTTTTCGATTGTTTGTATCGGTGGTCGACTGGTCGCCAACAACATTAGAAAAAGGAAAATACATGAAATATTTGCCAATGGACGTTTAACAACCAACATATCAATCAATAAAATAACATCAAGGTATCAGCTACCGAAAGTTTCGGAGCAATTAAAACTCGACATGATTTGAATTTTAATCTTAGACCAACATATTTGGCCTTTGTTCGGGATTCTCAAAAAAATATCCATCAGCCATAGTTCTTGCGAAGATGATTAGAAATTCGTGGGTTTTAATGGTCAATTAGTTTAATTTACATATGATTAGATGAAAAGAAGCGATAAACCACAACTATTTCATGTGAGGTTTGAAAGCTGACCATATAGGGGGCTTCTTGGCAATGCCGCCGCATGGTTGGCCGCGAAGTATTGGGAAAAAGAGTTGCAGCCATGTTGACACGAAAGCAATTAAGGGTTCAAATCCCACAAACTGACAAAGGGAAGAACACTTTAAAACTGCAACATTGTTGAGCAGACAATGTATCATCATAGTAGAAATTGTGGTAATTCCATTGTTTCCGATCCTAGTGAAACCTATTGTAATGTTCATATGCTATGATAATCACAATAAAATATTGTTTACACTTAGTATATACACATGTTTATATTTGCACAAATCTTTAGACTTGTGATTTTTATTCGTGTTTGTGAAATGACGTCATTTGCGATATTTATTGAGTTTGCTGGTTGGTTGTTTTCTTGAGACTCATAATTTCAATGCTTATTTCATATCAAATTAAGGATCATCATCTTTACCTGTAGACAATTATGTCTGTGTTTTCATAAAAAAAGTTCTCAGAGTACACTCAGACAACCTTTTTCGAGACCGGCAGAAGATGATGAAATAACACCTTAATTTCATTTGACAGATATGGTTACTAGTAACTCACTTACTCAATTAAATCGCCTAATGTTGTGCCGGTATCTGTTGTCCTATTTTCTATACCAATTAGTACAACTCACTACCATTATTACAGGGGATGTCTCAAGCATTTGTCCAAACTTTTAAAACTTATTTCATGTTGGTATCTTTTCCAGATTCACAGGTTTGTCTGTACTCCGAGTCAACTTTTTGGTATACATACGGTCATATTTTCAATTCCTTCTGATGAACCTTAAATAATTTCCCAAAAGCAAAGATATATTTAAATATGTATTACCTGATACAAATGCATTAGACTGCAAAATGAATAAAACTATGAAGAATAGATCCATTCTTCTATTCATACAAAACTTGTCAGACATCGATGAACTCTGTAGAAGACCAATTTAGTGAACTGCGGCCAAGCTTTGGGAAACGACCTGCGACGTTATGATTGACTGAACTCTTTCAGGTCCATTTGAAAAGGAACGGTCGATTTCATTGGTCAATTCCAACCGTTGGCCTCTTACAAACCCCGCCCAGTTAAAAATCACGTCTTGAAATGAAATACATACCAAATATAAAAGTCATGAACGAAAATTGGTCTGCATCAACGTGTTTGATAATTGTGTACACGGTGTGTGAACACAATTAACCGTTTACAAAATTATCCCGAGGCAATTCTAGTGAATATACATGTGTACATTTAATATCATTTCGTACAAAAAGGAACAACCATTTAACTTAAAAGGAGGGGGTATTTTTTTAAAAAAAACTGTCCTGATTCCAAAGGAAAGAAAAATCAATAATCTGTCGCAGCACTGGTCAAATCAATATTCTGATTGTCAAAACTTTATTTTGAACTTAAAAGATTAACTTTGGTTTTTCAGTCCATACTTGACCTTTCAGTGAATAATCATCAAGATGGAGAGCAACAATCAAAACGTTGCTTTAAATACGCATAATGCATGTACATTCACCCAATAGTCTTGACTACTCACATTACTGAAAAAGATATACAAATGCATTTCAACACACAGGCGGACCGGGGAGGGGAGGGGGACGTAGAGGTCTTTCACATCAATATTCATTGTATAATTGCATGTTACCGGGATATTCTATCATTTTTTGTTGACAAAAAGTGGTGAACAAGCTTTTCCCCCAAGGGTGACAGGGTAATAGAAATATGGTCACTTTGGTTTTCTTTCGACCGGCAGCAAAATCCTCGCCAAAGTGGGGAGTCCGTTTTGTTGTGCGGGATGTAAAAGTACGCAGCCATGTCCGGTCAGAATGGGGACGTTCAATCCGATGCCTCGTAAGAACTCTTTCAACAATTATTTAAGGGGTCCGTAGGTAGCCTGTTGCAAAACAAAATTTCTGTCCCTATCCAATATACCCTCTTTTTTGGAGGCAGCTAATGGCCCTTTAAAAAACAACAATCAATCAATATAAACAACATTTACAATCCTAAAGTCGTCGTCGAGTGCACCGTAGAAGGTGTACTTGAATAGGCCATATTTCTACTTGTAACCGATATCTTTATTTATAAACTTGTTTTAGGAAAATAATTACTATCAGTGCATGCAGTAATCATCTATCTAGTAAGCACGTAACTGTCAATCATAAGAGTACAAGGGACAAGGCTGTGGATTATTTTTTTATAAAATTTCCATATGTGTAACATTGGACAGTTGAAACAAAAAGGGGTACATATCAACCCCTCGTGGTTTAAGTGGTTTAACTATGAATTTTATGAATTTTATGTATACTCAACTTCATTCATAAATTGTTAAGATAAGAAACTTATCCCAAAGACTATTAACGACACCTTAAAATTACACCAGGCACGATCCAGCATCTTTGAAATGGAGGGGTTTGCGACAAAAGAGTTTGTTGACAGGACAGTTTTGTCCTTCCCTTTTTTTTCCAAATCCGATATTTTTTGTTTTCTTTTAATTTCAATTATATTCGTGTTTTTCTCTGTTAGACTTCCATAAATATACTAGAAATAATTATTTGTTTACTTTGTATTCTTAGTTAATGATACCCCCGCTTTAAAAAAGTGAGGATATACTGTTTTACCTCTGTCCGTCCGTCCGTCCGTCCGTCCATCCATCCGTCCATCCGTCAGTCCGTCCATCCGTCCCATGAATATTTTTCGTCGCAGCTTTCTCAGGAACTACATCATAAGGATTTCTGAAATTTGGTTTCAGGGTTTATATAAGTCAGCTATATCTTGTGATGCGTTTTCAGATTCATCACTCAACAACTTCCTGTTTACCGAACACTTACATATTTTTACACTATTAAAATTATTCAGTTGCGGCGGGGGTATCATCAGTGAGCAGTAGCTCGCAGTTTCATGTGTTTACTTTTTATTATTAGTTTACTATCCGCCGCGGTCTCTGTATACACAATTGATAAAACATATAGTCACGTTTCTCTAATTCTATGGAAATTTATCCCTTTCCGAACCCATTGTATAAAAAAATTTAATCAACGTGTGGTTGCCAGTGATCTCAGATGATGATTGGATGAGTTTAAGGGTCATAACCTTTCTCAGCTCACTGGATGCATCAAAATATGCTAACAGGTGTTAATGAAATTGACAACTTTATGGAAAGTGGAAGGCACTCGAAGGGGGTTTTAGTTTAGCAAAAAAGGAAAATTTATTTTTTAATCATTAGAGAAACAGATTCTTACATAGTTACTCGTGGATTATCGGATTTATCCAATCTCGATAGTTAAATTATAAACTTTAAAGTCCTCGCCAAGGCTCGGACTTTAAAATTGATAATTTAACTATCTCGATTGGATAAATCCGATAATCCACTGGTATCAATGTAAGAATCTATATTTATCCAACATTTGATAATTAGACTAAAACATTTTTTAGGATTAGGGCGTCCTCTTAAGGACTGGCATCTTGAAATTTACCTGTAATTCACCTGTTCAGTTCTTAACTAAAATATTGTAAAAATGGGTCTTTTTAAAGATATATATTAAAACATTAACAAAAAATATTTATGTTTTTCTTACAATAATTGTTTTTTCATATATTTTTTTAATAGTTTCCCAAGATATCAAAAGTCGATATAATCTAGCACAGTCATGTAAATTTTAATTTTACTTTGTTTTCATATTTGTAATAAAGGATATCTGTAATGTTACTATAATGTAAATTTTAATTTTACTTTGTTTTCATATATGTAATAAAGGATATCTGTAATGTTACTATAATGTTACTAGGTTTTTACAAATCAAATATCAATATTTTTTTTTATTTTAAAGTTGTTATTTAAATCTTACACACATTGACGCAATTTTTTCATTCTTTTCATTTGTATGAGCGCTCAGACTGAAAGGTCTAGAGACTGATTTAAAAACAACATTTACAATCACAATGTAACATAAGCATAAGTTATTTTGTTACCTAATAATTAGAATTGACGTAATCAATTTAATAAAATAGAGGGCAAGGTCTCAACCTATATTCTCACTTGGGGAAAAGTGATAAATGTGGCCCAGTAATGTCATCAGTGTCCTCTGAACATATACAATTTTATTTAAAAAGATGACTTTATTGCTTTTAAACGTCCAGTGGCAAGTTGAACGCATAAGCAGGACGAGAACTTGTTGGTGTTAGATGGATATGAAGCCTTCTTTGAAAAGAACTGTCCTAAGTCAGGAGCCTGTTGTACAGTGATTGTCGTTTGTTGGTGTGCTTCATTAGTGTTTCTCGTTTTTTATATAGAATAGACCGTTGGTTTTTCCTGTTTGAATTGTTTTACACTCGTCATTTTGGGGCCCTTTATAGCTTGCTGTTCGATGTGAGCCAAGGCTCCGTGTCGAAGGCCGTACTTTGACCTATAATTGTTTACTTTTTACACATTGTGACTTGGATGGAGAGTTGTCTCATTGGCACTCATACCACATCTTCTTATCAAGCCGAACTTTTAACGTGCTAGTTCACAAGATAACAGACATATATTCTAAGTAAGTGAGGAGAAGCAGCAAATTCCAACTTTCCATTCTTTGGTTTGACCCGGTTGGGGTCAATTTCTTTTTATTGTATAAAGTTAGACCAGATATCTATACAATCAACATATCTTCACATTATTTCGTTTTATGTTGATGATTTTCTAATTCAAGTATTTTCTTATTAATATTTAAACAAAAACAATTTCCCTTTTTTGTTCGCTTGAATTGAATGCTTACTTGGACAATTTTATAGTCAGACTTATTATATGAAATATGTTTTATTTTTTTGTTTTATGAATTATACATCTATTATCTGCCTAAAACCTGTCAATTTTATAAAAAATCCCTGAAAATTTGTAACATGTAAAATTATTCTTATCTCTCTGTATTTCTCTTGAAAGCACCTTTAAATTTAATTCTATTTTATCATTGATACTTCTAAATTTTTCAATTATGTACTATATGTTCAATTTACTATTTATGTTATAAGAGTCTATTTAATCCTTTATGAAGTTAAAATATATCTATTTCTTTTTTTATAATTGTTCATTATTTGGACAGTAGTTTAACAAGATATCACAAAACAAAATAAAATATTTAAATACCATCTTTTCTCTATGTTTATTTCAAATTTTATGAGTAACATAAATAATATAATACAGTACACACTTAAAAAAATAATCACAATCAAAGCAATTCCCAATTGTCCCACATTTAAACTTCCCAATTGTTCCACAAACATCTTCCCGATTGTCCCACAAAATTTCTTTACCTTTTTACCTGTAATTTCGAAAACTGGGACATTGAATCGGGAACACACCAACACACCATATCATCAGCGACTATATGTAAAAAAAGTGGGGTCACTCTTATTTTATGGGAAGGATCCTTTCAATTTTAGGAAGAGTTGCAGATAATAGGTGACGGCGGACGGACATAGTGATTACTATATAACCCCGGTATTGATGAAGGTGCAATACAATGAACAAGGAATCATTAATTATGGAAAGACATACCCATCTCCATAATATCTCCACACTTTCTTTAGAAACTAAGAAGATAACAAGTGACAAACATGCACCCCAATGAAACTACAGACACAATAAGGTTCTCCAGAAGGATAAGCGATGTCTATTCCACTCTGAAATCTGTCCAGCTGCTCACGGTAAGAGTGGGTTAGTAAGAAAATAAAGTGAGAAAACATACAGAAAGCTATTGCAAGCAGAGAAAACCATCCAACTAATTCCCTATACATGACGACTTCAGTACTTCTAGTCCCGGCTACAAAATAGACATATACATAAACCAACATCTAATGATATCGACTTGTATCGTATTGGAGAATAAAATCAAGCTCACTCTAGAAAATGAAAAGAGAAAAGCTTTAAAAGTCTGACTCTGCAAGATTTGTGTTTCTTTGATATAAACGTAAGACAGTAGACGTCCGAATAGATGTGTAGGATGTGTAAATCGTATT